GGCTCATTTGCTCGGAGTGTGAAGACTCAGCTGGCACGCATCGACCTCTGGCCACTCTGTTGCAGAGTCACGATGCTATAGGTGTGAATTCGCCCGGAATCTGCTGCCTCAGGAAGTTTCATTGTCATATCTTATTTCACATGCCGATATGCATTGCAGGAACTATCGCCGCACTTTATTATTCTCTCACACCGCTGACACTAGGGTGCTCCAGTAATAACTGAGCTTGGCTTGAGTGTAGGCTAATTTTTGATGAAGTTGTCGCCGTATGCACTGTCTTCACAAGCTGCGTTGGCAAGCGATTTGTGCTGACATGAAGCATCACTTGCCCTCGTGGCACTTCTGTGTCTTTCTTACGTGTGACTGTTTGTGAAGTTTTTGTGTAAACTTCTGTTCCGTGTGCATCTGCTTTAAGTTGGCAGCTTCGTGCTCTCTGCACACTGCAAGTTGGTACGCGTCTTGCTGCAGCTACGCGAGTATCTTGCGTATGTCCTGCAGGTTAGCCAGCGTCAGTGAAGGTGCACACTGCGTGGTCGTGTAGTGTTGCGTGCGCAGCCCAGTTCCATGTACGTGTTGAGTGTGCGTGACAGCGTTGCCAGGTAACCATGTACGCTCAACTGCCGCACACGAGCATACACACACTGTGGGTTGAGCATTCGTAAAGCAACGCTACTATAGTTGCGATCACCGTTGAACTTGCTCATATCCCATAATGTCAGGCATGATCGTTGATAGGAAGCTTGAAGTATCAAAAAAAATCTGTGAGCACACGAAATGAAACGTGGAGAGCACACACAAGATCGACAGTACACACCATAGCTTATTCATCTAGTTTCATATCATTTAACAGCCCCTTATATCTATTTCATGCCCGCTGTAAGAACTTTCTCTGAGCAAGCGTTCAAAGAAACCTTGTCTACATTTTCCTTGTGTGCTACTTTTGTCACAGCACGACGCTCTGAATCTCGTCGACATGTTCGTCATCAGCTGCTGCGTGCTCCATGACGCGCTGTCTTGTGTAGGCCGCACGTGGCTCGCGCTCTTCAGAGGCTGCGAACGCTCGAGTCTTCCTCCGTCCGCGGTGGCCAACTCAGCTGTGTTGCTTATTGCCTTAGTTTCCTTAGTATTTATTTGGGACGTAGCAGTCCCAGGCCACGCTGAGCGTTTCGTGTGCCTTGTCCCCGTAAACGGAGCTGGTGGAACGCGGTTACTGGTGGACGCTTTGTATGAGATATGAAAGGATGGGTGCTTGGGGTGAGGGGATGGGTGCACGAGATGAGGGGATGGGTGCTCGAGATGAGGGGATGGGTGCTGGAGATGAGGGGATGGGTGCTCGAGATGAGGGGATGGGTGCTGGAGATGAGGGGAGAGATGAGGGGATGGGTGCTTGAGATAAAAGGATGGGCGCTCGCGATGGAAGGTTTTATAGAGGTATGATAATGGATGCAACATCTTCGTCCCTCAATCACCAATCATGCAAGACGCGCTAATCTTAACAACTGGCGACCATCTACTTGAGCTAATGCCTATTTGGAAGCCTCGGCTGCAAGGAGGCCCTGTTAGGGCTCACATGGCCGCGGTTACAAGCTCTAGCCGCTGCTTCTAACTTCACATTCATGTGGGTCGTATTATTACCACGCTAAAGCAGTTACTCTGATTACGTGGCGACGATCCCCTGACTGATATGAGCCGTCGTTCCAGCCAAGCGGATGCGAGTGTGGAGGGCTCCTAAGGAGTGTCGTAAAGCGCCAGCAAGCCATCATCGTGCTGCTATCACACCTTGAGTAACTTGCGCATTTATAGCTTATGGCTCGCTACGACAATTTGACTCGTAGCCCCACTCACTCCGCCACTGTAATAAATGCCTTTGTGAAAGCCTTGCTGATAACCGCACTCTGTGCATTATTGTGGACGCGCGGGTGTCTGCTGCGTGAAGCTGCGACGCGGTTGCCATCCCACAACTGCGCTGGATATGTCGCGTGATGGAGTGCGCTTCATCGTAGCCCTGCTACAGTTCGTGAGCGAGGGGGAGACTATTGAAGTGTGCGTGGTCAAGTTCTTTCTCATGAACTATGTTTAAATTTGTATTGATTAACAATAGTTCGCAATTTTGGAGCGGTGGTGGTTTTTTATGCCGTTTTCCATTAATGAAACTAAGCATTGCAACCATATCAGTGAAAATTTGTGAGAATACTTATGATAAGCAAGTGGCAACGACTTTGAAGTGGCGTTGGGTGTTTAATGAAAGAACGATTTCCAAAGAAATAATATACCCAGCGCGACCGTGTAAGATGAAATTGAAGTTAGTGATTTAAATACTTGATACGGTATATGAATAATAGTGTAGCATGAATGAGTTAAATTACATTATAGGTTGTCTATATTTCCCACTAAATCTGTTTGTATAAATTTCTGTCGAGAAAACCGAGTATTTCTGCGTATTTGACCCATGGTTCGACACTAATATAGTGACGTTATATACTAAGATTATGTGAATGCTAAAAAATTCACATACACCGGTTTAGATCAACTCAGCCTAAATGTACTCAGCCACAGCAATGTTCGACTAGCTTCTTCTCATGTATGCTACATTGCTTTCCTAATACCGAGCTCCAAGGCGTTTAATTTCTTCGTTACTGAAACTGTCTGGTTGGTTTTTTATGCTTATGTAGTTACTAATGAGTGTTGTGTTGCTCATAGAGAATAACAGGAGTTCATAGTCTCAGGTGTGAGGACAATTGCCTTGAACACATGGCTTGGTTTCACCGATAGAATTCTAGCCCAATTCCATCAATTTTCTTATTGCCTCAACTTTCTGTCGTCATGCGTAAATTTCTCTGCAGGCAATGTTTACGTGTCTGAGAAGCTCGTGCTTAGAACTAGTAGGTATTGTCGAAATATTTGCCTAATATTAATTGTGACTTTATTTCTCGAAACGTTACAGTTGGCCATACGGTATTTGAGATGACGATTGCTGCTATCTGCTCATACATCAGCAACAAACTTGATTATTGGGGCGCCAAGCTCCATGTACAATGACGAACGCTGGTCCACAGTTCTATTTCACGTCTTAATTCACAACATGATTGCACCGTTACAACACATGTATGAATATTTGCCTCACGTCCCGCCCCATATGTGCCTAAACAAAACGCTATCTTAAGTCTTTAGGGCTCGAAAGTCGCGTTGGTTTTCAGTAAACTTTTGATTTAGCAGTGCTGCTTTACTTCGCCGTTCACAGGCATCCCCTGGTGTATTGTGCGTTTACACCTTACGCAGGCTGAGGGTTCTCATTAATGAGCACTTTTATTTTTGCATGAAAACGTAATTCGTTTGCCGTGTTTCAAGTCCTCTTCCTCTCATCCAAATTAGACTTGAGTGTGAATGTACAGAACCCGAATTAGCCGAAATCGTTTGTTCACCACTGTCAACTATAACCCTAATGGCTTGTTATCCTTCAAGGCGGATTCAAGGAAGATAGACGTCGTTTTTCCAGGTGGATACCATATGTCCTGCTTACTTGTTGTCAGTGTAAACTTGATTTCTAAAGCTGAGCGCCAAGAGAAGCAGCCTTTGAAAAAAATACTTATATTTTTTGTTTCAATGCCAAGATTTGCTCTTTCTCGTCGTACGCACTCCAAACTTGGCAGTGACTGCTCGACATAATCCTTGTTGACAGCCTATTCGGGCCAAGTGTGACAACTCAGGGCAGTCGTGGATCTCACAAGCTTCGTAGACACGTTTTAAAGCCCTGATTAAAAATATACTATCGTAACAAGTGGGTTTCCCCAAGCTGACTGCACTCATGACTCAGCCACATCATGAGTAACGGTCACTACTCCGCTCGCGACGAGTCTACTTCACCTGTCACGTATAGGTAAACCAGCGTCATGTCCCCCGCTGTAATTATGATTATTTTCTACGATTATTGTGTATGATTATAGTCTATGATTATTGTGTATGATTATAGTCAATGATTATTGTGTATGTTGCATCACTAACTACGATTGAAAAACGCGCATGCCTTCATAGCATTTTGCTTGCTTCTCGTTGGGTGTTAGCGGCACCGCTGCTCACTCCTGTTCATCCGCAACGCTGGTTTGCCCGCCTGCTTTCCCCCTCGCGGGGCTTGCAATAGACGCTTAAAGGGGGCCGAGGGGGCGGTCTGGTTAGAGGCGCGCTGGTCTCTACTTTATAATATAACGTGGGCTTGGAGGGGAGGGGTTGGAAGCAGGGCTTGGAGAAGAAGAAGGGTTGGTGGCTGGGCTTGTGGGGAGGATGGAGGGCTGGGCTGGTGAGGAGGATGGAGGGCTGGGCTGGTGGGGAGGATGGAGGGCTGGGCTGGTGGGGAGGATGGAGGGCTGGGCTGGTGGACACTGCGCGGCAGAGGTAGTGCAGGCAGTGCAGCCACTGCGCGGCAGAGGTAGTGCAGGCAGTGCCTCCGTCCTCCGTTAGTTGGGCCGCTTCTCTGGTCTCCCCACACCCCCTCGTCTCCCCACATCCCCTCGTCTCCCCACACCCCCTCGTCTCCCCTCATCCCCCCGTCTATTCATTTGATCAGCGCTACATCCCTCGCCTCCTGCTCCCCTCCTCCTGCTCTTATTGCTGCTGCTCATCGTCTCCGCGTTCTGCCTGGCTCACTCTTCTATTTTATGTTTAATGAGATATTTTAACTATAATACTTTACTCACAATTATGCTCAATTACTCCCATTTCTTGATGCACGCGCACTGAAAGCTAAAGGGTTCGATATCTATCAAAGTTTCGTTTCACCTTCTTGAACAGTAACCATATTTAATTCAACATTGCAATGGTTTAGGTATGGGTTTAGACTTGAAAGACTTGGCATTGCTGTTCTCATCTTCGTACGCGTAGACGTTGAATCCTTCCTGCAGTGCAATGCCGCTGCTATGCTGTGCTAAACATTTATTAATTGCGCAAATATTCTGACTCAGAACACTAAATGAAACGTTTAATTAACGAGTTTTCTTTCTTATTGCAGACGCCACACGCCCTACTTCGGGCAACCTGACTACAGACTTTACGAGCTCAACAAACGTCTACAGCAGAGAACTGAGGTTAGTTTAGTGGGTTGAGCGGAGATCAGCGGCTAGTTGCAATTACAACAACTTAACTTACTAAGTTGGCTACTTACCCTACACTTAGAGCTTAGTTAGTTTAGTTGTGTAAATGCGAACAAAGTTTGGTTTCCTGGCTACTAACTTGATGCAGATGTTAGCTATCTGCAGAGCTAAATGTTCCAGATTTTTATGTACGCTAGATTTTTTCAGTGTAATATGTTCGTTTCGTTAAGTATTCGGTTGGCGGTCAAGCATTCATGTAACAATAATATCTCACAGCGCCTGTCGGAACCGTGTACATATAACCTTTCATCTCTCATCACACCCGCGCTGTGCTGGTTATAGCACACCGCTCTCGTGCCGTGTATTTTTACTGCACATCATCACTTGGTTCGTGTTGTAAACACGTGCCACGGGCTGTAGACACGTGCCACGTGCTGTAGACACGTGCCACGTGCTGTAGACACGTGTCACGTGCTGTAGACACGCGCCACGTGCTGTAGACACGTGCCACGTGCTGTAGACACGTGCCACGTGCTGTAGACACGNGAGTGCTGCAGTCCCCCTGTAGATGAGTTACTGGGCCTCCCTGTGACCCAAGAGATACAGTGAGTGCTGCAGTCCCCCTGTAGATGAGTTACTGGGCCTCCCTGTGACGAGTGTGGCTGCGGCACTACTAAACACAGAGTTATACAGTGAGTGCTGCAGTCCCCCTGTAGATGAGTTACTGGGCCTCCCTGTGACCCAAGAGATACAGTGAGTGCTGCAGTCCCCCTGTAGATGAGTTACTGGGCCTCCCTGTGACGAGTGTGGCTGCGGCACTACTAAACACAGAGTTATACAGTGAGTGCTGCAGTCCCCCTGTAGATGAGTTACTGGGCCTCCCTGTGACCCAAGAGATACAGTGAGTGCTGCGGTCCCCCTGTACATGAGTTACTGGGCCTCCCTGTGACCCAAGAGACACAGTGAGTGCTGCAGTCCCCCTGTACATGAGTTACTGGGCCTCCCTGTGACCCAAGAGATACAGTGAGTGCTGCGGTCCCCCTGTACATGAGTTACTGGGCCTCCCTGTGACGAGTGTGGCTGCGGCACAACTAAACACAGAGTTACGCTGCTCTGCTCGACTGTGTATTGGTTTGTCTCAAGAAGCTTTGTTGGGCTCAGGAGGTAGCAGCTTAGGCGTTTCTTGGAGGTTTAGAGGTTTTATTTGGGCTCAAGGAGATTTTGGTATCTTTAAAATCTCAAGAAAAGGTAAAGATTGATTTCCTCTTTTTAACCTACCTTGAGTGAAATAATTTTGCGTTTTTCATAGGGCTTAAGAGGGAAATAACAAGGGGGCCTTTTTAGTCGAATTTAAATGGCCGACACAAATAACGAACTTTTACGTTTATTATGGCTTGACAGGCCACGAAACTTTGCTGCGGATAAAGCTTAATTACTGATGTCAAATGTGTATTGGCTGACATTTCAACCGTTAAAATAAATATAAATAATAAGCAAAGCCATCGCCGTACTGACCCGCCACCTGCCCCCCAACAGCCATCGGTCGCACGCTCTTGCCGCGCTACTTCAGGAGCATTTTCGAGGGCGGCGTCACGGAGCTGTATTACGCCGTGAAGCATCCCAAGGAGTCCTTCCATAACACCTCCATCACCCTCGACTGTGATAACACCAACATGGTCACCCATCATGGCAAGCCCATGTTCACTAAGGTATGGGCAAGTGACGTGTGCTGAATCTTTGAATGTGTTTTCTCCGTGTCTCTATTGACTCTGTCGCATTCGTGTACTTATGTGTGTGATGTCTTTTCAAACTTGTACGAGCTGTAGCTGCTGCGTTGGTGGCAGCAATAGTAGCAACAGCAGCAGTAGTAGCGACGTCGGCAATAGCAGCGCAGTAATACCGCAATAGCACCAACAGCCGCAGTAGTACCAGGAACAGTAGCAGTAGTTGAGAAGACATGCGTGAGGTGTAGCAGGCAGTTCAACATACCAGCAGACATCGCGTGCACTGGGCCGTATAGCGCACTAGGCGCTCAGGTCACGGTATCGATATGCTTTATGCAGGCTCATGTCAGTTGAACCATCACCCATGTGCTCCCTCGCCTCACCTAGTCACTCACATGAGCACCAGTAAAATTATAATATAATAGTCACTAACATGAGCGGCGTAAAAATTTAATATAATAGTCACTAACATCAGTAGTACCAGCAAATTTATAATATAATAGTCACTAACATCAATGCCAGTAAAATTATAATATAATAGTCACTAACATGAGCACCGTAAAAATTTAATATAATAGTCACTAACATCTGTACCATTAAAATTATAATATAATAGTCACTAACATAGCACCGTAAAAATATAATATAATAGTCACTATCATCAGTACCAGTAAAATTATAATATAATAGTCACTAACATCAATGCCAGTAAAATTATAATATAATAGTCACTAACATCTGTACCATTAAAATTATAATATAATGGTCACTAATTATCAGCACCAGTCAGTAGTATTAGCGTCAGTAAAAATTATTATCAGCGTCAATAGCTAAATTATTCGTATAGTCTTGACGGTCAAGCCACTCACAGGATACAATGCAACCAAGGTACACGTCTTCTTGAAGCTCATCGTGTTAGCTGCGCGTAAGTTGTTACGGGAACCGAGTGTTTTGCAGTCATAATGACGTTTGCTGTTATGATTTTTTGCAATTTGCTCTTTCCGGTTGAATAATGAGATAGCTCTGTATATTCTGTACAGTTTACTCTTTTGCACCTCTTTACAGTATTTTAGACAATTTTTTTTACTTGAACGACTCTGACGAATGTTAAAGAAAACAATAGTAAACAAACGGTGCAGGCGCCTGAGCTCAGCCCGTAAGAAGCCTCCTGCAACTGACGTAGCGTTCGTGCCAAGTTGCCACTCGTAGTTACAATACGCACCAGAAATATGTTACTTCTGACTTTTCCGTGATTGTGTTGTATCAATTAGTTGAAGTTATGGTAAACAATTGTTGCTTTAGTGCCAGTTACAGTAATTTGTCATCCGATCGCGTGAGAATCGGTATGAAGGGGTTGCTTCATTACGCTTACATTCCATCCCAATATGCTCACAACTATGACCTCATGTCTCTATTTTCGTTCACCCACGTGTGACAGCGTTTCATCAGTGCCTTCTCTCTTTATCATCACCCACCTGTGACACAACATTACAGCGGTTACACCCCATCCCCTCCCCTCCTTCCCCCTTATCATCACCCCACTGTACCACATTGCAGCGGGTGCACACCAAATCTACCTTCCCCATTTTATCATCACTCACCTATGACACAGCATTAATCATTGCTAACCCCCATCTCCGTCATCATCACCCACTTTTGACACATTGACGCACCACCACACCGCTACCACCTGAACTAGTCTCACTTGTGTTGGTGTGCTTGACCAGGTATTCACTGAAGGCCGCCTCATCCTGGAGTTCACATTCGACGACCTCATGCGGATCAAGTCGTGGCACTTCGCCATCCGCAGCCACACGGAACTCATTCCCCGCAACGTGATCGCCATGCAACAGGACCCAGGGCTTGTCGAGACCTTCAGCAAGAACATCACGCGCATGGGCATCACCAACCACACCTTAAACTACCTCAAGGTATGCATGCAATCACCAACAACTGCGCTGGTGTCATCACAAGCGGTAGGCTTGTGAACATTCCCTGCGCTGGTGTCGGTACAAGCGGTTATGATGAACGACCGCACTCACAATTTTTGAATAAATGAGCAGTGTGAAAGCAGCAATGATCCCTCAGTTAATGAAGCTGTTCTTGGTTACAGCTGTTCTTGGTTACAGCTGTGCTTGGTTACAGCTGTGCTTGGTTACAGCTGTGCTTGGTTACAGCTGAGCTTTGTTACAGCTGTGCTTGGTTACAGCTGTTCTTGGTTACAGCTGTGCTTTGTTACAGCTGTGCTTGGTTACAGCTGTGCTTTGTTACAGCTGTGCTTTGTTACAGCTGTGCTTTGTTACAGCTGTGCTTTGTTACAGCTGTTCTTGGTTACAGCTGTGCTTGCTTACAGCTGTGCTTTGTTACAGCTGTGCGTTATCATTGCTGCTGCATTTGTGTCAACTTGATTTCTCAATTTTTAAAAGCTATCGAAATAGATGCAGATTTTTGAATGCTTTATCACCTGCAGTCATTAGCTGGTAAACCCACTGATCATACATATATCATCTTATGATTGATGATCCTGACCGTGCTAAAAAATTTCATTTAACGCGAAATTCAGGAGACTCAGATACGCACTGGTTCAACTTAATGAAACTTAGGCTCATTAAATCTATAATTATTTCAGCCTTGTGTAGGATGTCTATATCCTTTACTCTTGTCCACCCTAAATCTTGCAGTTCAGATAATTTTGTTTTCCTAATTATTATTATTTCCTGACGCAATTATTATTATTGTGGATACGCGCTCGGAAAAGCACCGAGTGCTTACAGTGCCTGGGCCTATACTAAAAAAAAGTTAAGAGATCGTAAGTTCATCAGCCAATCATTGACGGCCTTTCAAGCAAAATCCACCAATCATCGACAAGAAAATAGAGCGTAAGTACTTACATTCACTTAGCGAATTTTGAAATATGGTCCCAGGCCTATAACATGCGCACAACCTGGCATTCTAAACTGTAATACAGTTTAAACGGCCGTATTATCAAAACACGTTCGAGTACACGTAGCGGCCGATTTCTCGTTTGTGATTGGCGGATTTAGCTTGGAGAGCAATCGGTGATTATCTGCCGGAGTTATGAACTTGGCTTTGCTTTGGAGGTTGCGCACGACAAGTTAAATCCAATATGGCAAGGTAGCTCGGTGTGCTGTTACCGTTCAATTTTGACGGTTCATGCTACTAGATCGTATTATCGTGCTAAGCCTGTTCAACCTGCCACGCCGGATAATCCTGCAGCAGAGATGTATATTGCTGAACCGGTTTAACCGTCTACGGCCGGTTATCCTTCTAAACCGGTTTAACCTGCCACTTCTGGTTAATCCTGTTACGCAGTCTTAACCTGCTACGGTGCTGTACCTGGCTACGTCGTGTTTACGTATGATGACAGATTAACCTGCCACTGAACACAACCTCCTTAGCAACGCCGGGCTGAAGCAATGCAGGTTGAGATAATGTGCAATGCTTTGTTTTCTGTTACTGTTTTCGAATGAGCTACAAATTTCATTTAATTTTATAATGTTCTCTCTGGCGCTTGATTAAACATGACTGAAATTCGGCAAATAACCCTTACCTTTGAACTGAAAAGTGAGTATTTGTTTCCTCCTGCTGAGAATACTCCGTGCCCCAAACCCGAATTTGGAAGTGAAATTTTATGCGCCTTTTTCCGAATGCTACAACGTCTACATTGTGTGCCTGGAGCAAGCATCAACTTATCAACTTGAACGCATTTAGCGCATGAAACGTAGCCTAACTTAGTATGTACAGTATGAATTTTTTTACAAGATGTCTACACTGAGCCGACAACCGTAGCTTAGCCATAGTTTTCGCGTGACAGCTGACCTAAAAAACGAAATTATTTATTAATATCACAACTTTTCTAAGTAATCCGATAAAGTATGCATCTTTGCATATTGATAAAAATCGATGTGTTAGAGTTAAGCGTCATAAAAAATGGCATTGGTATACTCGAGTTTACTGCAGATCCGGATTGGTCGCGATATTTATTATTGTATGACCTCGATGATATATCTGGAGTAATATTTACATACGTGAGTAATGTTTTTTACAGCACTAAGACCTATAATGTGGATGCTATACCTCAGCTGTGCGTGATACTGGAGCCGATGCAGGAGCTGATGTCTCGCCACAAGGCGTACGCGTTGTCACCCCGCGACTGCCTCAAGACGACGCTCTTCCAGAAGTGGCAGAGGATGGTCGCTCCTCCAGGTACTCACACTGTCCTCTATATGAGCTGTTTGTAAACCAGGACTGTTGTGGCGGCCACTGTAACTTTCAAATGCTACTGTCACTAATTATCTCACTACTGGCTGACTAGTAGAGTCTATAGACGAAGCCAATATAACCGTATACTGGCGGTTAATAGTTGGTTTGTTCGGAAGTTGCATTGGCCGCTGCTACTGTCCCCGTGTACAAGCACCTTTAGCGGTACTATTGTCTGTCCTGACAACGTGTGCTGCTGTTACTTCTGATACATGCTGACAATACTGATAAAAATACACGCACATGCTCTCGTCTGATACTGGTACATGTACATGTTATCAGCACAAATACTCGCGACTGATGCTCCAAGTATTCTAACGGATGTCCCTCAGCTTCCTCTCCAAGCTTTATTTTAGTTTTCTCCTACAGCCTCCTACTGCTTTATCCTACAATTATCTCTTCCTTATCTCACCACTTCTGCCGCCTGCTCGTACTTCCTGCCACCACTTCTGTCGCCTGCTCGTACTTCCTCCCACCACTTCTGCCGCCTGCTCGTACTTCCTCCCACCACTTCTGCCGCCTGCTCGTACTTCCTCCCACCACTTCTGCCGCCTGCTCGTACTTCCTCCCACCACTTCTGCCGCCTGCTCGTACTTCCTCCCACCACTTCTGCCGCCTGCTCGTACTTCCTCCCACCACTTCTGCCGCCTGCTCGTACTTCCTCCCACCACTTCTATCTTTTCCTCGCACTCGTACTCTGCGTAGTGAATATTAACGCTATTCTCGGCTTATTTTTAAAAAATTCGTTCGAGAAATACTCTTTATTATTTTCATAACGTGTTTTTCATTAATGAATGGACACACATATGCACTCACACTGTAGAAACATCTCCAAATCATATTGTTCCTGACGATTTATTTTATTTTCGTTATCTTTTATTTTCTTCGTTTATTTCGAATTTTATTATTTATTAACTTTGATTTTTTTCGTGTATATGAAGGACACACGTATTCTATGCATAAATAACAGCATGTGTGCACCGGATGAGTTAGGTGCGTGTGGCAGTGGTCTGGCTTGTGCTCTGGGGTCTGCATTTAGTTTCCAGATGCGCGAGCATTAAATGGGGTGCTAATACGAACACTGGTGTTCGTAATGAGTGTTGATGCTGGAGGTGTTGGTACAGGTAATGAGTGTTGATGCTTGATGTGTTGGTGCAGGTAATGAGTGTTGATGCTGGAGGTGTTGGTGCAGGTAATGAGTGTTGATGCTTGATGTGTTGGTGCAGGTAATGAGTATTGCTGAAAATGCTGGAGATTGTTTGTTTATGATGGAGATTGTTTGTGCTGGAGATCGTTTGTTTATGCTGGAGATCGCTTGTTTATGCTGGAGATCGTTTGTTTATGCTGGAGATTGTTTGTTTATGCTGGAGATTGTTTGTTTATGCTGAAAATTTTGTTTATGCTGGGGATAGTTTGTTTATGCTGAAAATGTTTGTTTATGCTGAAAATGTTTGTTTATGCTGGGGATAGTTTGTTTATGCTGAAAAAGAGATCGTTGATGCTTGAGATCGTTGATGCTTGAGATCGTTGATGCTGGAGAGCGTTGATGCTGGAGATCGTTGATGCTTGAGATCGTTTATGGCGGATCGTTGATGTAAGAAATTGTTTATGCTGAGGTCGTTGATGATGGAGGCCATTGATGTCGGCGATCGTATATTGTTTACATCCCTAACAAAATTAAGGGTATGCTTCGGCCTCCGCCCCAGAGTTGCTCTGTTCGCGTAAGAGTTATTCTGGGTCAGTTGGCCAACTGATCGCAATCAGCGACTAGTCAGCACCTCCTGGCCGATTTTATAGTCTCCTGAGAGTAGGGCAAGAGTTGGCAGAATAGGTATGTCGCTTGTAGCTGTCTGATTCGGGGACCGAAATGTGGAGCGAAAAGGGGACATAGGGAAGCTGGTGGACTATGCTCCCCGAGTCCTAGGCGTTCCTTAATCAAGAGCCGCCCTCGGCTCTAAATTTTGTTAAGGTAGAGGCCTTCGATGTCAGTAATTTACATGCATTGGGGAGAGCTAAGCCTGAGTCGCTCATGTCATCAGTTCAAAGTTTAGCCTTTGCCGCGTCGTGTGGTGCTCCCGTACCTGTGGACGCTGCGCTGCAGGTTCGTTCGCCGAAGTTCCGTCTCGCTTGTAAGGCGCTGCGCTGTCTCATCTCATTGTTCGCTCCATCTGATTTATTATATTTGTCAGTCTTGGCCAAGTGTAGTCGCCAGCTGTATAGCCATTCGCGGATTATGGATAAATATCCAATGTTATTTGGAAGCATGGTGAAATAATCTGTAGTTTGATGGATTGTACAACTTCTGTTCTACTAATTGGCTAGGGTTTGGCTACTTCCTTTCCATTAGAATGATACGCTTTTGTTTTGTCACTAGGTGCCGCAAATCAAGCCAGTGCTAGAAATGGTCCTAATGGAGGTATGTGGTACTGATCTTGCTAGGTCCTAATGGAGGTATGTGGTGCTGATCTTGCTAGAAATGTTCCAAATGGAGGCATGTGGTGCCGGTCTTGCTAGAAATGTTCCAAATGGAGGCATGTGGTGCTGATCTTGCTAGAAATGTTCCAAATGGAGGCATGTGGTGCCGGTCTTGCTAGAAATGTTCCAAATGGAGGCATGTGGTGCTGATCTTGCTAGAAATGTTCCAAATGGAGGCATGTGGCGCTGATCTTGCTAGAAATGGTCCAAATAGAGGCATGTGGTGCTGATCTTGCTAGAAATGTTCCAAATGGAGGCATGTGGTGCTGATCTTGCTAGAAATGGTCCTAATAGAGGTTTGTGCTGCTGATCTTGCTAGAAGTGTTCCTAATGGAGGCATGTATAGTATAGTATCTTTGGCGTTGAAGAATAGACCTGGATAGGCCTGTCGCCGATGCTTGTACTTTTCTTGACTAGTTCACAGATCTAAAAGACTGGCATTTTGATCAAATATTTTCAATAAACGGTGGTTTGAAATCGTTTCTAGACTTTCAGTTGTTCTGTAGGGTACTAGGCATTTCAAGACGGAACATATGCTCCTGCAAAGCTTCGTCTAGTCTGTTCTTGAACGCGTTCATACTCGGAGCGTCAACGATGCTATCAGGGAGGCTGTTCCACATGTCAGTGACTCGAAGCGAGAAGAAATGTTGACGCGTGGTATGAGTTTCACCGCAGTTTTTTATAGCTGTGCCCCTTGTGTTGGTTCTTGTTTTAAATTCGAGTAATCCTTCTCGGAACTTGTATAAACCATGAGTACCTATACTTGTATATTTCAATGAGGTCACCACGCAGGGGACGATAAAAGAGACCGGGAAGCTTCATAATCTTCAATCTTTCTTCATAAGACTTGCTCTTTTAGGCCTGGAATTATCCTTGTTCTGATCTTGCTAGAAATGGCCCAATTTTTTTTTTTTAATGCTGCTAATGGAGGCATGTGGTGCTGATCTTATAAGAAATGGCCCTAATGGAGGCATGTGGTGCTGATCTTACTAGAAATGGTACAATGGAAGCATGTGGTGCTGATCTTGATAAAAAGTTACGTGATGGAGATGTGTAGTGAATAGTGATGAACGAAGGAATGTTTGGACAACAAAATGCTAAACTAAAGCTTAAAATTATTATTTGAATTCATTAATGGACAATTGATGCAGTGCGTTGTCGTAGCACTTGAACGGTCGTGTAGCACAGCCACATTTCGCTGTGAAGAGTCCGGCAATTTTCGTCTAGTATTGAACAAACGTGTGAAGGTACGACTGAGCTCTCGTCTACAGAGACGTGCTTAGCATTGATCACAACACTGCATGATACATGATGTCGTGCTGCCATACTCAACACTGCATCACGTCAACTTGGACGTTTCGTTTCTATAGGCGCCTTGCTATACTCATTTCTTCACACAAATCGCACGCACGACCGAGTTTCCCTTGTGTCTAATTAAAGTTTCTTGTTAGCGGTCTCACAAATTAATTCAATAGTTGAACCAATTTTACCATACAAGTTATTGAACACGCTTTATGTTGCTTGGTTTCATACATTGCAATTATTTTGAGTCGAACGGCAACAAGCGCTCTGCGAATCAACTGATACGTTTCATTTAACGTCCTGATCTTCTTTTTTTGCGCGTTGCATTCGCTGAAAAATGGTTTATATCTGACAATAACGCAATTAGCTCGGTTCAATTGGCTTCTTATTTACACTGTGAACCGTTCCATATCAAGTGTTCTTAGCATGTGTCTGCCTCATGAAGTATTTTAGCCTGTGTCTGCCTCATGAAGTATTTTTGCCTGTGTCTGCCTCATGAAGTATTTTTGCCTGTGTCTGCCTCATGAAGTGTTTTTGCCTGTGTCTGCCTCAAGGAAGTGTTTTTAGCCTGTGTCTGCCTCAAGGAAGTGTTTCTAGCCTGTGTCTGCCTCAAGGAAGTGTTTTTAGTCTAGAAATTAATGGTAAGTTGATCGTTCTTATAATGTTTTGGGAAACAAATTGGTTGCATGATATGATATTGTTATTGTAATGCTAGCTCGTATCGTTAAATGGATGGTTTTGAAGTGAATTGAGACGATTGAGCTTCAAGCGCTTATGCAGAAACGAAGTTTCCATGCAGGTCTTAGTTTTACGAAGGGTATGAGTGAAGATCAGTTATCTGTGTTTGGCGAAAACATTTTGAACACAACAAAAACTCGACGATTGGCGAGAACTTAGTACATACAAACTTAGTACATACATACTTAGTACATACAAAAGTAGCGTCTGTGATTGGCGAGAACTTAGTACATACATACTTAGTACATGCATACTTAGTAATTACAAAAGTAACGTCTGTGATTGGCGAGAACTTAGTACATACAAACTTACTACATACAAAAGTAACGTCTGTGATTGGCGAGAACTTAGTACATACATACTTAGTACACACATACTTAGTACATACATACTTAGTACATACATACTTAGTACATACATACTTAGTACATACATACTTAGTACATGCATACTTAGTACTTACAAAAGTAACGTCTGTGATTGGCGAGAACACTTTGAACATTTACAGCAACCGCTGTGATTGTCTGCACTCTATAGTGGTGCTGATCCGTACAGCGGTGATCGTATCCTCAGTGCTGAAGTTACGTTAAGGTAGTAAATGTTTTTTTTTGTTCCGCACACCCACAGTTTTCGCCCTATCCTCTATATCCTAGCTCCCCCCACAGCACATTTCCCCCATAGCACAGTTCCCCCACAACACAGCTCCCCCACAGCACTGCCCCCAACAACACAGCTCCCCCACAACACAGCTCCTCCACAACACAGCTCCCCCAATACACCTCCCCCCAACAGTTCCCCCTCCCATAACGACGCGTGTTGCTGTGCCCGCAGAGACGCAGCGCGCCCCGAACAAGCGGCGTAAGCGCAAGGGGTCGCAGTCTGGCCAGAATGCGAGCACCAACTCTACGGGCGCGGGCAAGAAACGCTCGCCCGGACCAAATTTCAACCTGGCCTCTCAGGTCTCTGTAAGTACCCCGAGACGTGACACTAACTCGTGTGCCCATCCAGGCAAATGTTTCCTATGGATAGTCCCGCCGTGCTAACACTTCTTTCATTCCTTTTGCTTTCATATAAGAACCAATCTTGTAGGTCTTCATACTCAACATCTCCCTTGTAAAGCTTGTTTTGTGTTTTTTGTTCTCAATCTGTAACTGTGCAACAATTACTTTGATCCATATTTCTTCGTGTGAATAATTTCTATGTTATTTACCTTGAGCACTTTTTTTCTATTTTCAATCTCTTAACACGAACCATTTCATTACATTTGTACGAGTTTTTCATTCGTTGTGCCTCCGTATTAAGCCTTTTTATGGTTTATTTACACTGAGGCGTTGATGCCTCAGAGGTAACTTTGAGCACTGCATTGCTACCATAGAACTTCATTCCCAAACTACTCTTTTTATTGTTGAACTCTCCGTTCTTCATTTGTGTGATCTAATCGCTCCTGGGTGTTCTCATTTTTATAACATGCATTGGAGACGTGATTTGAACTTTTCCTCTGCCTCAAAATTATTCATACATGTCATTGTTTGAGTTATTTATTTTGGACTGCATTTGCTTGCTGGATATGTATTGCCTCTTGAGCGACACCCAGCAGCCGAACCTCCACACTATCTATTCCGCTGTGGTAAGAGCCGCTACGACAGGTGAGTGGGTCTGTTTGTGCTCATGACAATCCGTTAACACTGGCTCATTTATCATGCCAATCCGTTAACACGTACTGGCTCATTTATCGTGCCTGATAGTTTGAACCGGCTTATTCCTCATGCCTAATAGTTTAAACTGGCTCGTTCCTCATGCCAATTTCTTGACACTTGAACTCTAGTTGCTGATGCTACTCAGGCAGGATATATCAATCTGGGTAAATTTCAAAGGATCGTCACTGATTGCCTCTGTTGATGTTTTGCTGTATGACAGCTGTAGGTTAGGTGTGCTTCGTGCTACGCTACAGCACCTGACAAACAGTATCATCAGTGCACTGGTGTAGCACCTGACAAACAGTATCATCAGTGCACTGGTGCAGCACCTGACAAACAGTATCATCAGTGCACTGGTGTAGCACCTGACAAACAGTATCATCAGTACACTGGTGTATCACCTGACAAACAGTATCATCAGTACACTGGTGTAGCACCTGACAAACAGTATCATCATCCTAAATGTAGGTAATCATGTTGACAAGCATTGATTGGTTTGGCAGAGGACTTGACTGGACAACGAAGAAGCGCCAGGGTGCGTGTGTGTTGTTTCATTAAGTGGAGGTAAGTTCTGATAAGATATAATCGAAATAATTTCTTCCAATAGCAAAGGTATTTGCATAGTGTACATTAGAGCAGGTATTTGTACGGTGGATGGTAATTGTGTGCTGAAGGGTAGTGATGTTCTCACAGGATGTGATGGTGGTGGGGGAGCCGTCACTCATGGGTGGTGAGTTCGGCGACGAGGATGAGCGTCTGATAACACGATTGGAGAACAGTCAGTACGATACTACTGTTGTCGACGATCCTAGTTCTCAGCTGCAGCCCACATCCGTCGTCCCTAACGCACCACAACCTGGGGGGCCTGTCTCGCAACCCTCTTCCAACAACCCCACCGCCCAGGGTGGTAACGCATCTACTACTCCTCATCACCCGCAGCAACCACCGTCTGGTGGTCCACAGGGGGGACCGTTCACAAGCTCCCCTCACCACATGGGCAGTGGGGGGCCCGGCTGGCCCGACACCTCAAGGGGACCCAATGACCCTGACAAAAAATCGCCCGCCATGAATTAGGCGACGTTTGGGACCATTACGTCTTCGACGTACTGGACGCAACGTCGTCCTCGTCACGGCTTTTTTAGTGACGTGTCGCATACGTGCGCCTAAATCTCGCCTACGTGCGCCTGAGTGCACGTGACGAATACGTGGGTTCGACGTATATTGTCTGCGCCGGTCATTTTCGCGCGATATTAATGTGCTGACGCTGCTCTAAGAGTGTCGGTGTCATTGGCTACTCGTGAACACGTTGTACGTTCAAAATAATTCCATTACATGAACACGTGTCGGACTCGGCGAAGAGTTAACCACGATAGTATTACGAGTAGTTGAATAGTTTGTGGGTGAAATGCGTACTATGCTTTAAGAGACGCCACTTGGATGTGAGTAGCGATCTCGCTTAGACGTCTGCTTCTATCACACTGTCAGTGGTGACTGCCACAGTCCTAATTGAAATCGTGCACCTTGCACTGCTTGTTCCCTTCGCTGCTGATGGCACAGCAGCTTAATTTCCACCAACTTGAGATGCTCTTTTCCGCCAAAGTCGGAAACCTTTCAACATCAGACCAGATCAAACTTGACACTCATGCAGTCAGCATTGATCGTGTGATAGAGGCTTCTGTAAATGGCAGCGATCTCAACTCTCTGCCCTACCCTGTGTGTTCTTTTCTAAGTGTGCTTGTTCCTGTACATTGTGTGAGAGATCGTGTACATTATGACATTTATAGCGGCTGTCACGAGATGCGTGTGCAGTGGTAACATTTTATTACCATCACACCTTATCAATTAACAATTATTATTATTACCATCACACCTTATCACCTCTGATATGCAGCAGGTTTGTTTACTCGAGCATTGTTTCACCGGCTAATTTATTATGGATTAAATATGGTGGAACACACCACCAAAACTCTTGTTTTCTTGCGCCTGCAGCAAAGATTTATTACTAAAAGATTGCTGACAGCTGAGGCCTGCGAGGAGGAAGACGATCAACCGATTGCTGTCATCTATACGACAGCTCTAACACTTCTGATTGAGAAAGCTACTTGCCATATTGTATTAATATCATCTTGATTGTTTTTATGAATGTAAAAATCGCCTATTTTGCAAGGCTTTCTTGCGTGAATTTGTGAGAGAAACGAGCTTTAAATGAGTATATTCATCGATATTTTTCTTGAATGAATTGGCCGCTGATTGAATTGAGCTGCCAGTGTTCAACACGGTCGTGTATTTCGGTTCCAAAAATGTACAGGTACGCGTATTGTCTTATAGTTCAATTTGAATAGTATAAGTTCATATTTATTTGCTTCTGAGTGTACAGTTTATATGTTGAGCAGAAATACTTCACTACCTCTTTCCTGACTTGGCATATTTTCAGGTTGTCACCATTTCGTTAATTTGAGAGCCAAACAGTTGTGTCATATCTCCACTCGATGAAGTTCCCCGCGTGCTGCTTTCATCTTCTGAATCATACGATGCAGAAGATGTTATACCTACGTATATCCTTCATGTTTTCATAGTTCTTCTCAATTACGAACCTCACTCCAGCACGACACGGTATCGTGTCTCTGCATCGCCAGTGCAACTTCTCAAGAGTCGCTTCATCCACCATGCCGGTGATGTAACAAGTGTGCAACGCAGATCCTTTACTCTTTCGTTATTATATTTCAAATTGTGACATAAGTTGTACTGTGAATTTGTTTAGTGAAGTATGCGTGAGTGTAAAAACAGGCCCATCCGCTCGTCAACTATTACCAACACTGAAGCGATGACTGTGTCTTGTGGCCATACGTGGACTCGTATTGCAGATGACATACAAGTGTGTACATATTAGGGATAAAGTGTATTGTGTTAACCGCGATCTTGGTGTGGTTTGTCTCCACCGAGCCTGGAGTGGTGGTGTTGTTCACCATCACCGTACCTGGAGTGGCGGTTTTGTTCACCACCACCGGACCTGGAGTGGTGGTGTTGTGCATTACCATCGTACCTGGAGTGGTGGTGTTCTTCACCACCACCGGACCTGGAGTGGTGGTGTTGTTCACCATCATCGTACCTGGAGTGGTGGTGTTGTTCACCACCACCGTACCTGGAGTGGTGGTGTTGTTCACCATCACCGTACCTTTAGTGGTGGTGAGCATCACACATATTAAAGTTCTTTTCAGATACGTGCGTCTCGTTGAAAACGTAGCACGTGCGTTACTCACGAACACGTCGTTCGTTTACTCAGGTTCGTGTAAACTATTCGCAGATGCTGAAACCTGACAGGGATCTACATCGTTAGCTCTTCTCTGTTGTTCGCCCCCAAATGAGACTTTATATCTTGTATTGTCATAGGTTATTGGCATCAAAATCGTGGAATATTTTTTTCTACTTATATCAGTTATCTCTTCAGTCGTTACCGAGACATTGACTCAGGTTACCTTTTTCAGATAGAAGAATGTTATTGATATCATTGCTGTATTGTTTTGCTTTATTTGGCTAATGACTGTTTTTAGTTGAACTGACGTTCATACACTTGTTATCGCAGCATTTGTTCTTATTTTTTTAAGTCAGGGGTTCTTATGGCCTACCGTCATCCGCCGCTGATACAGGAGCGTCACCTGCGAGTGAAGTGCGTTATCGTTCTTCATTTCCCAAATCGATCTATGGAATTATTTTATTGTTCGATTTTTAGCGCATGAGCGCATTCATTTGTGCCAGTAGCATTCGAGTTTATGTTTCGAGCGAATCTTTATTGTGACGGGCCATTTAACATTCCATTCTTATTTGATAAACTGATGGTCGAGCTTCACGTGACTCCTTCTTAAACATAAGATAAGTGAGTGTGTATAGGATTCAAGATACGGTACGTGTGCCGTAGCTTAATAGTGGAACATGACCTACGCTTGTACATTTACTTGGTGTCAGCATTGTGCTGCTGTAGCTGTCTGCGTTAACATTCTTATTTATTTATTATTCTCCACGACTATAACACTTTCATTCTTACAAAGGTTACAAGATGCAGGAATGTTCCCAAAAAATCTCAATTGTTCGGCGCCTGAGTAATACTCTAATAATACTAAAGAAATAGTCATTCAATTGGCCTGGGTATGGTTTGTTGGGAAGTTGTGCGAGTGTTTTAGACTCCTGATATCAGAAGATGGTCGTTCACTATACCATGGGAACTGTGCAGCCCAGCGCTAGTTTCATACATTCACTTCTACGGTATACATTTTTAATCAATGTTCCTGCTATTTGTTTTGTATTTTTAAACGCTATTTTATCTGCAGATTACTTCTTTGTTGTTATTTTATTGTTCAACAATTTTTGTGCAAAACAAAAATGCGCTACGGTTTTCTTTGGGAGGAATGGGCTTTTAACACGCACATCCATGTTACCCTTGCACGTCTGCACTACATCTCATTTCACTCGTAGCTGTCCCGGGGTTTTAGCCGAGACGTATCATAAATCGCCGAGACGTATCATTTAGCCGAGACGTATTAGCTCGTTGTCGTATCATAAATCGATCAATCACATTCAGATGTACAGCTGACAATTGTACAACTTTGAAATTCATTCAAGATGAACGCGAAACTTCCTACTACCGTAACTATTTTAGAGAATTTTGGCGTTTAATTATCAGTAATATTGTTTTCATAATTGATATATGAGCTTGTTCTTCCATTGATTCCGAATGTTCATTAATTTTAAAATAACTAAATACATTTGTTTTAAAATAAATTGAACGTCAAATTGAGGTCATCTCGAATGTCAAAAATCTTGTCATTTTTAATCCCCCTAAAGTAGTTATCTGTGTAATTTTAACACTTATTTGCTTTTTAAATTATGTATGCTCGATAATTGATTTCTTTAAGAATTGGACGCGAATTTTGTTATTTTTACTTGAAGAATGATCAAATGTTGTCAGTTCGGAGAAGTTTATTTTCAGCGCCCGTTATTCTTGCCATCCTGACATGTTGCCGTGGCAAGAATCAGCTTCATCTCTAATTTCCCTATCTCGTCATTATTGAACGCTTTAATCTATCATCATTATCGAACGCGTTATCATTACGCGTTCAGTGCATCATTATTGAACGCTATAATATCATTATTAAAAACGTATAAGCTAGGCGACGCTTGTTCAGATTTATTTCAGGGAGAAAATATTCGCTTGTTAGCGATTTGCGTGAAAATCTCACTTGTACAAATTGGGACGTGCATTTTCTATGCCAGATGTAAAGGAATGTGTGAACGTGTGCGATGCTAATAAATATTTCTAAATAAAATATGTCTCTTATTCCAAGAGTTATCTTTCGCATCAATGGAGATATTGCTAAGTTAATGAGAAACAAAAGCTGATAAATTGGCACCAAATAAGTAATTTTAATGCTTAGGCATTCGCAGCATTCATAAGTAGAATGGACAGTGTTGCTTCTGCTTACACATGATGTGCACACTTACTAGCTGTTGCCTTCATTATGTCCGGCGCCATGTCTAATGGTGTTAAGCTCATGTCTTGTGCCATGTCTGGTGGTATCAAGCTCATGTCTTGTGCCATGTCTGGTGGTATCAAGCTCATGTCTTGTGCCATGTCTAGTGGTATCAAGCTCATGTCTTGTGCCATGTCTGGTAGGAGAGCAATTTGTGCATTCCTCCTGCAGTCTGCTCGACCTCAGTAAGTATTCTTTTCTTTACTTGATCATAATATGGGTAGATTATTGTGCGCTATAATCAGGATGTCGAGGACGTGGTCGCGTGTGCTGATTGTCTTTCTGTTGCAGAGGTTGCCGCTCTTCGTCCCTCAGACTTCCTCCCTCAGGTACTACTTCGTCAGGCTGGTGAAGTGAGGGCGCCTTCCCCACTCCTCTTCCCTACGGCCTCTCGTCTCCCCCGCGGCCTCTCGTTTCCCCCGCGGCCTCTCGTCTCCCCCACGGCCTCTCGTCTCCCCCACGGCCTCTCGTCTCCCCCGCGGCCTCTCGTCTCCCCCACGGCCTCTCGTCTCCCCCACGGCCTCTCGTCTCCCCCACGGCCTCTCGTCTCCCCCACGGCCTCTCGTCTCCCCCGCGGCCTCTCGTCTCTCCCACGGCCTCTCGTCTCCCCCACGGTCTCTCGTCTTCCCCACGGCCTCTCGTCTCCCCCACGGCCTCTCGTCTCCCTCACGGCCTCTCGTCTCCCCCACGGGCGCTGCTCTTCCCCACGGGCGCTGCTCTTCCCCACGGGCGCTGCTCTTCCCCGCGGGCGCTGCTCTTCCCCACGGGCGCTGCTCTACCCCGCAGGCGCTGCTCTTCCCCGCGGGCGCTGCTCTTCCCCACGGGCGCTGCTCTTCCCCACGGGCGCTGCCTTTCCCCGCGGGCGCTGCTCTTCCCCGCGGGCGCTGCTCTTCCCCGCGGGCGCTGCTCTTCCCCACGGGTGTTTGGTCATCTCGCGCGTCACGTTTCCTTGCACCAGTAACACCAACACACTGACACTAGCTAGCAACACTTACGATATATGGTCTATCTTTTCTAGAAATTTGTTAGCATCATTTTCAAGATGAAAAAAATTCAGAAATTATCCTTGTTTCTTATGTGAGTCACAAGTTGTTGATGGCATGTTGCTGCTGTCAGTGGCATGTTGCCACGGTCAGTGGCACGTTGCTGCTTTCAGTGGCATTTTGCCGCTGTCAGTGACATGTTGCCGTTGTCAGTGGCATGTTGTCGCTGTCAGTGGCGCGTTGCCGCTGTCAGTGGCCTGTTGCCGCTGTCAGTGGCATGTTGCCGTTGTCAGTGGCATGTTGCCGTTGTCAGTGGCATGTTGTCGCTGTTTGTGGCATGTTGCCGTTGTCAGTGGCACGTTGCCGCTGTCAGTGGCACGTTGCCGTTGTCAGTGGCATGTTGCCGCTGTCAGTGGCACGTTGCCGCTGTCAGTGGCACGTTGCCGCTGTCAGTGGCACGTTGCCGTTGTCAGTGGCATGTTGCCGCTGTCAGTGGCACGTTGCCGCTGTCAGTGGCACGTTGCCGCTGTCAGTGGCACGTTGCCGTTGTCAGTGGAATGTTGCCGCTATCAGTGGCGCGTTGCCGCTGTCAGTGGCGCGTTGCCGTTGTCAGTGGCATGTTGCCGTTGTCAGTGGCATGTTGTCGCTGTCAGTGGCATATTGCCGTGGTCAGTGGCACGTTGCTGCTGTCAGTGGCATGTTGCTGCTGTCAGTGGCCTGTTGCCGCTGTCAGTGTCCTGTTGCCGCTGTCAGTGGCCTGTTGCCGTTGTCAGTGGCATGTTGTCGCTGTCAGTGGCACGTTGCTGCTGTCAGTGGCCTGTTGCCGCTGTCAGTGGCCTGTTGCCGTTGTCAGTGGCACGTTGCTGCTGTCAGTGGCATGTTGCCGCTGTCAGTGGCATATTGCCGCTGTCAGTGGCACGTTGCCGCTGTCAGTGGCGCGTTGCCGCTGTCAGTGGCATGTTGCCGCTGTCAGTGGCACGTTGCCGTTGTCAGTGGAATGTTGCCGCTGTCAGTGGCGCGTTGCCGCTGTCAGTGGCACGTTGCCGCTGTCAGTGGCCTGTTGCCGCTGTCAGTGACGCGTTGCCGCTGTCAGTGGCGCGTTGCCGCTGTCAGTGGCACGTTGCCGCTGTCAGCGGCACGTTGGTTTTGATATTGGCAGTTGGATCGTGTAAGGAGCCCATGGACCAGGCTTGTGATTGGTCATCTGAATTAGTGAATGGTAGCTCATGTTGGTGGCAGGTTTACTATGTTGCATCTCTTGATGTCGAATGCGCTCTGTTGGTGGCAGGCAGCTCGTACTGCTCTCTGTTGGTGCATGGCAGCTCATACTGCTCTTTGTTGGTGGCAGGCAGCTCGTACTGCTCTCTGTTGGTGGCAGGCAGCCCGTACTGCTCTCTGGTGGTGGCAGGCAGCTCATACTGCTCTCTGGTGGTGGCAGGCAGCCCGTACTGCGCTCTGTTGGTGGCAGGCAGCTCATACTGCTCTCTGTTGGTGGCAGGCAGCTCATACTGCTCTTTGTTGGTGGCAGGCAGCTCATACTGCTTTCTGTTGGTGGCAGGCAGCTCATACTGCTCTCTGTTGGTGGCAGGCAGCTCATACTGCTCTCTGGTGGTGGCAGGCAGCTCATACTGCTCTCTGGTGGTGGCAGGCAGCTCATACTGCTCTCTGGTGGTGGCAGGCAGCCCATACTGCCTGCCACCAACAGAGTGGCAGGCGGAATTAGCTGCCGGTCTTACGTCGATATTTCCTGAACTATTATTTCTTGCTCAATTGCGAGTGTCATTTTTCCATTCTGAATTCTCCTTATCTCTTTTATTGTGGAATTTTTTTCATATCTTCACGTTCTCCTTGCTCGTCGGAACGCATTGATCTCTCATTTAAAAGGCGTTCGTAAGTATATTGAACACATTTGCCTCTTAGGCCGTCAGATGCTCAACATTCTGGACATGCGTTTCAATATTGCCTGGTCAGATGAGACTGTAAAGCTCACACCCATGTACCCCTTAGTCGTGTGTTATCGATGTTTAATTTCCTGTATTAATAAGATATATTCTTCTTGCTCTTGACGACCCAGTGTTTTCAATGGTTATCAGTCAGAATCGTTCAGTTGTGAACCTTACCCCCATTTCATAGCCCGTGTCCTCGTGCAGATAGCTTTATCTTATTGTTATAGTGGTGGGGGGAATGCACATCACTCCACGGATTTCACACTCCAACTATGAGCCCATTAAGGTAAGCACATACGATGAGGTACTAATACAGAAATTATTATGACTAATATGTAATAATGTGGCCACGCCATGACACCACCTCAGGCAGCAGCAGCCGCTGCTGGTGCGAGCAAATGGTGGCATGCGGCTCCGGCAGACGTTGCTATTGCGGGTCTCCACGGCCGACGACATCCATTCGTCCTGTTACAACTATCAATAAAGTTTATCAATGTTGTTACGAACGATGTTCCGATTAATATTTACGTCAGTGTTATGATGGTTCATAATGCGCCCCTTTATGATCTACATGGAGGTTTTATTTAATGTTGCGCGATGAACAATCGTGAAGCTCGCTTTGGCTGGGTTTTAAAGTTTATCCAATTTAACTGAAATTATCGTTACTTATTTGGAATAGCTGTTTAATTGGTACCGACCTGCCAATCTTACTGGAGGCTTTAGTGTTGTAGATATCATGTGTAGGTAGTCAGGATGGTTGTGGTGCTGGAGTTGGTGGCGAAGCAGCACTTGTTTGCGCTGCTGCACTCAATCGAGCTAGCGACCTATGGCAACTGCGGTCGTCAGGGTAAATTCACTAGTTGGGGACAAACCGGAGCGCTCAGGGTAAGTCGAGGTGACCGACCACCATGTGCAGTTGTGCATCACACAGTCTTGTTAAATAATTCTTCCTCTTAAGGTTTGAAGTTTAAAGCTTATTTTACTTCTTGGAAAATACCCCAAATTGACGGTTAAGTAATTTTTATTTTTTTGAACATGTGTCAGTGCTGCTTTGGAACATATCAGCTGACGTTGTAAAAATGCGGGCTTTTTTAAATGCATTGTTAAGTAAGGTGGCATTTTCGTGCCCACGTACTTGCTGTTGATCAAACGATGGTCACTCTAGCATTGTTGGCGGTTTGACATAACTCAGTTACACAACGACCTACATAAAAACTATCGTATCGTGATGTTTCCTGACAAACATGAAGCACGTATCATTCCCTCTCATAATAAATATAACCCCACTCACCAGTCTTTTCTTACCATACTTAATAAAATACTTGGAGGTGGAAAATATGTTGGTTATTCGTCACTGCATAAAGATTTCATATATTTATTTTTCTAGCTGCTAGAACTTAATTTTCATGAGAAACCTGATCGGAAATCCAAGTAGATATACAAATATCTTTAAAGATATTTATTACTGCCGCAAGGTTATGATGATGAAACGGTTGCTTAAGAATCGGACGTAATTTTCTACATAGGTTAACATGAACGTGCCGTTAAAATTGCTTTGCATTGAACACTTGATTATTGCAGGAATTTGTTAATAGACGTTATGTAACTAGCTGAATATTACAGGATATATCGCGCGAGTTTCAGATAAGAACAAAATGTGCAAGAAGACATTAGAGACAAACGGATCCACATCTGTCAGATGCACACACGAATCATTTCTGATTTGTAAAGCAAAAAAAAAAAAACATCCACCTCTCTCTTCCTCGAGAAATTTTGCGTTCCAACTTCTGATGAAGAAGCTCCGCTTCTCTGCTGGAACCAAGAAATCACGGTTCATTTTATTATATTGATGTTTTTTCATAAATTACTTATTGAGCTGTAGTGGTTTCACTATCAAATATAAGAAAACACAATTGTTGGTATTATATGGTATAAAATCTATCGACAGTTTTTTAATAGATCTTTACTTGACTGATGCGGTTTTACGATTGTACTAATCGCGATTAGGATACTCATGATTGGACTACAGTTCAACCATGAGAATACTGGCAGCATCCATCGTATTTCGTTGTTCATCTCTGAATGTATAATTGCCGCTAGGTTTATGATCAAAGGCGGTTCTTTTCGGAACATGATTCTAAATAGGTGAGCAAACCTTAATATATAGGCGCACCACCGCAGGGAGTACAGCTCAAGGCAATTGAATTGGATGTTAATAAATAAACATGATGTATCCTTTGCCATGCTGCTGATACAGGGGAATGCTGGCAATCCTCCGGGCCCGAGCCTTATTTTTATGAGGTTACGCAGTTTAAACAACGTGTAATATTGAGGTATAATGGTCTGCATATGTTACCATACACAAAATTTGCGTATGTCATGCTTATATCATCCGCAATTATTGTTGTTTTTTTTTGTCGACTTCATGCACGGATCGTTTGAACTTATGCATCAAATTAAACATATTTGAACATTGCATGAGGGAGGATCTTACTGATCTGTCTCTCCAATTGTTTTACAAATGTTTTCAAGTGTTATTAAATTGGAGTATGAAGTGTACTGAAGTGATTTTTGAACTCTGCATAGTGCCATTGACTTAACTGCTGTTTCGATTACTTCACCTAACACATCTGAAACATTGACATTAAATAATGTTAATCATAGGTCACAATTTAATTATTTATTTAAGGAAACAAAATTTCAATTAATTTCAATTAATTGTTTCAATTAAGTTGTATGGAAACAATTTTTGAATGGATTCAACAGTCAAACAAACTGGTTGTGCTCCTTGAAACGAGATCTTGATCTCGTTGAAATTGTCTTATTTCCGAATTCGGATGCGGAATCTACTAGGGACAATTCTGTTACCTCTCTGTGTGTTTGGGGTAATACCGTAAAACTTTCAGTGGTAGTCAAGTGTGGACCGTAGTGTGAAGTGGTGTGCACGTTCCATAATTTGTTTCATCAGTAAATTTGGTTTTTATCCGTATTTTCATAAGATTGTTTTTACTTTTTGCGAAAAGATTTATTTAATATAGTCAACTAGCCAGAATATCTTGCTTGTTGCCTAATGTTATCGAGATTTTTTTCACAACATTTACTCACTCGAGTGTTCGACCTCAACACTTCTTCTTGTCCAGCCAAATGATGGTCTCCATGGCATCTGAGAGCCAGTTTAGAATATTGGACACATTTTTATTTACACGAGGGTAAAAATCAGCATTTTGAAATTGCTTTGAAAAAAACTGGTGCTGTATTACCTATTCATTTTTGTGCTGGAACTTTGACAGGAGTTCTAGTGAAATCCAAGAGGCAAGAGCATGGACTTTTTTTTTTTTGTCATTCATGGTTGATTGGTTGGCTTTTGACTATGTTCAGGCTCAGCTATTTCATGTAAAAACATTTTGTTATTTTTATATTATAGGCATGTACCAAAACAAAGTTATTTTTACTGTCAGAACTCAGAAGCACACTCTTAAAACCAATTTGAGACCTAAATTATTGAGTCTTGTCCAAAGTTAAGAAAAAATATTTTTATAGCTTTTTAGGATCTCTATCATCTATGTAAAATATAAAACAAATATTTATTAAAATTATGGGTTCAAAAAAGTATTTCAAGGGAGGCTTTCAAAAATGTTTGTGGAAATTGTCAATTTACTGAGCAATGTTGTTTTAACAATTGAAATGGGCAAACAAGAGATTTTGATAAGCTGCATAAACATACTGGCAAACCAGAGAATTTTTAAAATCAGTTTATTGTTTATTTTATCATTTGCTCATGATCTTTTTTTAGGGCTGCAACTGGAGCTTTCCAGCCATTTCCAGAACTGTGAGATTCCCACCAGATGAATTAACTCCTATCTAATTGATGAAAAAAAGTGTCAATTGGGCTGCAAGTTTCCAAATGTATTAAAAATTTGTCATGCCAAAGCCACAAGATTTCAGAAACAAGTAGGAAAATTTTAATCCTGAATGCTGGTATCCATGATACTTTGATTGTCTACTTATACTATAAGCATAGAACTTAAAATTAAACTTGAAGAAGAGTCTAAAAAAACTCTCTGCTTTTCCAGTCTGGCCAGTGGCTGCACAAGGGCCACACAAGCTGGCAAGCAATAACACTGTGCTAGCAATTTTAATTTGGAATATCAGACAGACTCTTCCCAAAATTGCTGGTAAAAATTATAATTTTGCTGGAGCTTTTAAATTAAGCCTATGGGTTAAAATAGGTGTTTTTTCACTGAAGAAATTGGAGAATTACTATAGGAAAGAGTGAAACTGACCCAATTCATAGGCCTTAATGTCTGATTAACATGTGGTTTCTGCTAAATTTCCCACTTAGACTGTGCTAAACAGTAGTTGTATTGCCATGATCATATCATTTTGCTAGAACATTGTTTTATGCATTGTATTGTATTTGGCTTTGCGTACATGCTGTGTTGTATTAATGTTATTCATCCCTTTGCAGAAGATGGTGTAGACAATATACATTCTAAGTAGGAGAGCCACGAAGATGGAAGGCCCCACAGTCAACTCCATAAGCAACATGGATGCTGCTTCTGACAATTACAATACATTTCCAGAAAGAGAAATTCAGACCCAATGTCTTGCTGAACTGAAGTGCAATCCCTCCCTTACAGAAGGTAATCAATCACAAGCTCCAGAAAAGCCTACACCTGCTGTCCCACCTGAAGAAGCTAGCATGCCTGAAACTGACTCAAACATCTCAAACAACACAATACTTCATGAAGCAGCTAGTGACAATCCTAGCAATACAAATACTGTTGAATCTTGTGTTTCCAACTCTGATATTTTGCCTGTTGCATCTTTAAATACCTCAGCTTCTATAGCTATGCCACCTGCTCCCTCTGTGTCCAAATCTGGAGTTGAAAAGGTTGCACCACCTGAATCAGTTAAAAGTTCACCAGTGATAATTACATCAGTTTTTAAAGCAAGCACACCCCGTATCACAGTCACTAAATCTCCCATTGTAAGTGCTCCATCCAACACTCCTGTGGTTGCCACTCCAACTGCCTCTGCCAAACCTGCAGCAGTAGCAGTTGCATCTGCCCCTAGACGCTCGTGTAGGGCTCGTCGCATAAATTCACGTTTTGATTTGGATGAAGTTGATGAGAGCTTCAAGCAGCTAGTGGCAAGAATAGCTGCTCCTGATAGCCACAGTATACTCCAAAGTCCTGAACTTGCTTTTCATTCCCCTGCCCCACCACCTCCCGTCACCATTCATTCCACTGTTCCTTCTAGTGCCCCTCATAGCACTTCTGGTGAGGAGCCCTCAATCCCTCAGAAGCCAATGGCCAAAAAATTTTCAAAAAAATCTAATAAGCTAACACAATCCTTTGAGACCCAAAAAAGTGCTCAAGTCTATACCAGTAATGGTCCAAAATTACCTAAAAAAGTCAAGCCTGGAGCATTGCATCTCAAAACAAAATTGGTACAGGAAAAGAGCTCCTTTGGATCTGACTCAGATGATGATGTTCCCTTAGCCCATTATGCTGGTACATCCTCCATGTCAGAGGTTAATGATACACCAACACAGTTTTCAACAAAACTTAAGGAACTGTCGTCTCAAATCCCTCATGTGAACTGTGCCTTTCCCAGCAAATATTCAATCAAAACCATCCATAACCCTGAACTATCCAGTACTCCAATTAGCATCGTGTGTATTGAAGATCCTGATGAAGCTGAAGAATTGGCCAAGTTCTCTGATTCAAAGCGAGCTAAGAAGCAGGCCAAAGGCAGCAAAGTTGTGAGAAAAACAAAGGGAGGAGATATAAGCGTATCAAGAATGGCCAACGGTATTGATAAAGCATCTAAGAATTTTCCTACCAAGTCTGCCCGAAAAAAGAATTTTGAGTTAGAAAAGTTGAAGGAAAAATTGAACTCCACCGTTGCCTCTGGAAAGTTATTGAAGATAGTTAACCTGAAGGTCGTACCTAATTCAATAGCAAGCATCCCTCAAGGCAAACAACCGAGTGAGATTGCTGATAAACTGCCATTGGACAAATCTAAAGCTTGCAGAAGTGGGCTTCATGAACTGCATGACGGAGGCAATAGCAGAGATACTCGAATTACAAGTCCACATAGCGAGGAAACTTTAACTGATTCGCATGACCACATGAAATCTGCACTCCCAATCAACCAAAACCCCGTCTTGTCAGAACTTGTTAACAACACGGCCACTAATCCTCATTCTCCGATCAAGAAAGAAAACTTCATAACCAGCTTTTCCTCAGAAGAAAATTCGGGAAATGTTAAATTATTAAAAAGTACAGAGACTCAAGAAAGCATGGTAAATAATACTCAAGGTCCTTGTAAACAGGAAATTTTAGAGCCCCATAATTACAAAAAACGAAGATCCTTTGATTTATCAACATCTAATAGTAAAAAAATTAAATACGAGTCTGACGGTGACTCAATTAACTGTAAGGCGAACGAAGAGCAATTTAGTGGCGACTGCACTGCGTCCAGACTGAATATTGCGCCGAAAAATGAAAAAGAATTTACCGATGATTCAAGTTTTATAAAACATTCTGGAAGGACCCCGTCGCCGACTCTAGACGCTCCTGAGCAAAAAGTTGACTTGTCAATTGTTCGTGACACTAGGACCCAAACTGGCATTGGAGCCGGCGAAGACGATGTCAAATATTCTGCGATATCGTCACCCAAGCTCGAAAAAGTTAGGGATGGTTATAAAAAATCTTCACCCAATCAGTCTCCTAGCGTACATCGGTCATATAGCAATCGGACATATAATCAGTTGCCATCATCCTCTGATACACCAGATACAACTGACAATATTGATTACAAAAGGAAGAGAATTAAAATGTCGCCACCTGACTCCAAAGATGACGTAAAACCCGATCTTTTGATGACAAAAATCATCGAAGGATCAGGAATTGAAGCCAAACCAGTTCTATCAAACTCGGATTCTACTAATTTCCAACCGTTATCAGTGATATCAAGTAAAAACAATGACGATTCCTATGAAAATGGAAGTAATTCTTTTAAGAAAGAGCCGGTAGATTGCGATGCACCGAATTTTGTCTCGTCACTTGATCCTACAGGGCCTCTCAGCTCCACTCAATCCATAGCTGAACCAGGTGGTCGGCCGAAGGATGACAGGAAAGATGACAGTCGCGAACGAAGGCATGGTAGTGGTCACAAGAGCTCCCATTCGTCCAAAGACAAACACCGCCGCGATAGTTCTAGGAGTAGATCAAGTTCAAGCAGAAGTTCCGATAAAAAGACTGAAGATTCGCGACACAAGTCGCGGCATGATCGCTCTCGCCACGAGGATTCTCGGAGAAGCAGAGATCACAAGTCTTCTCGCCGAGACAGCGATGGCAAGCGAAGCCATGATGGTCGGGACCGGAGAGAAAAAGACCGTGAACGACGTAATCACGACCGGAAGCGGGACCATGAGAAGAACGACTCGAGCTCATGTAAGAATAATGTTGGTTTATCTGAGCCAATCATTTCAGATGAACCCAAGCTTGATGTAAATGCACATAAAGAAATTTTAACTCGTGCAGAAGATTCTACAGTACATCAAGAAAGCAGGTCACCGAATCACGTCGTGTCATCTTCAAAGGATTTCGTTCCCTGCTCGAGTGTCGATGTGGAATCGAAAGAAATTAATCGGACTTGTTTAAATCCTTCATTAAAATATGAAAATTTGAGCTGTAGTGACGAGGGTCGCTCTGTAAAAGTGGTTGAAGCAAGTCAAGATGCCAAGTGTGATTTGTCATTCACCAGTATTCCTCGCAGTAAAGACCTCAAGCTCGAACTGGCGGATGCTTCAGACGCCATCGCGACGTTACCAAAGATCTCCAACGACGCCGTAGTAATAAGTCGCTGCAGTAATTCCTCAGGTTGCTCTCAGGATGTTAATAGGGATTTAAAACCCGAAATTTTGATGTCAACTGTTTCGCTTAAGCCCTCCAACAGTAGCGAAGCCAAATACTCGGAAACAGAAAGCAAGCCACTCCCTGAGAAAAGCATTGCACGTGCTTCAATACAAACGAAAGAAGAAGTTTCATCAGAGACCTCGTCAACACGGGATACAATTGATAATCCGGTTACTCCACCATCGCTTCCCGATTCTAAGCCATTGATGAACGTGATGGATCTACTCAATTTATGTCGAGCTAACATCCCAAACTCTTCTCGTGAACCGTCGGACTCTCCTCCAGGCGAAAAAGCCGATGTCAATACCAACACTTTCGTATCTGATATCGCTGTTCCAGATTCTCCAAACAACAAAACCAGTATGGGCGCTTTGCCAACAGATTCGGTACCGTCACATCTGCCGAATGTAATGCCTGTTTTTAACAGTCATTCCACACCAGATTTTCCTCTGAAATTGCCCCTTAATGCAATGGGGACCAATCCTGTCGGTATCTCTACCACTGAAGATTTCGAGGCCAGCAAGGCTAGAGCCCAGCAACGTCTTCGAGAATTGGGTGCCAGCAGCGACAGCGATGTTTCACCCGATTCTAGCATGAGAAAGAGAAGTCCACCTTATCACGAAAATACTCTAAATGATGCGGCTGTACATGTCAGGAAGCTTGATGTGGACGAAAAGTTAGAAGACGTGTATAAACTCGCAGCAAGAGAAGCATGTAGTTTGCAAAAAGATGTAAATTTTGAGTCGGGTAAGCTGTCGAACTCGTTTGATGTCCCAGGTGATTTAGTTGGTGATGTACCAGCAGATAAGGATGATTCTCCGTATATCGCTTCTCCCGAACCTAAGGTTGAAGAAACTCCAGAGGAGAGAGAGAAGCGTGAAGAAGAAGAGCGTCGGCTTGCTGTGGAGAAGGAAGAACGTAACAAAGCTGTAGTGGAGGCGCGTTTGAATTCCTACGTTCACTTGAAGGAGAATCTTTACCTCATCGACCGCAAGAAGAGCAAGCAAAGTAAGGAAGTTCGGCGAATGGTGTGCGACTGTTTCCTGACCAAGGAAGAGCTTGCGAATGGAGAGAAGGGGTGTGGGGAGGATTGTCTCAACAGACTCCTCATGATTGAATGGTGAGCACCACGGATTATTCATGAGTTGATCTCAACCCGTAAAATTTATATTCGTAGAATAGCTCATTGAGACTTGGCACAATGTGAAATATATGTATATTCTCCACGATATCATGTACAACTTAATTGTCATTGTAAAATGTCAAGAATGTTTTAAATAATATTTAATGAATGAATGATGCAGACGCTTGACATTGACTACGTATTGGACGAAGAATGTCCAAAAGTGCTTATAGGTATGCAGTACCGAATATAATCTTTGTGACGACATAAAGCTGAACCTTCCAATCATATGCTCGAGATGTTGCGTAGTTTGCCCAGGATAACGTACCAAATGTTTCAAGTATCTGACGTTACTAACGCCATTTTTAAGGGCCCCTGCTAATATTGTTTGTATTTACTGTTTGATTAATGGTGGTTGTTTGTTGTGATGGTAGTGGGTGGCGCTGTCCGCTAGGAGACGCGTGCCTGAACCGTCAGTTCCAGACCTGCGCCTACGGTCCCGTCGAGGTCTTCAATGCCGAGGAGAAGGGCTGCGGCGTCCGCGCCACGAGTCTCATCGAACCGTTAGTGCTACTACTTGGCCTACATTTGTGCCCTTCTTCCTTGAATCTTTGCCTTAAATTTACTGTCCTTATTATTTCATTAATTTCTTCGATTTTACAGACATTTTTTACGCATCTAAGCCACGAGCAGCATTGCTGATTTTGCCTTGACTGATTTTATTTTTAATAATTGCTATTTCTTGAACTAATATGGTTTAAAGTTTTTCTTGAATGATTTACTCCGACTTTCTTCACGCGATTGTTTGTCTCCAATTCGACAATATTTATTTTTCATGTTAAAGCTCAAACATTTTCCTACCTTAAGATTAACATTGTACGCTTTTGTGTTTCTGTTGCAAACTTATCCTTCTACAGCATCATTCAATGCTACAGCATCATTCAATGTAGGGCTGGTTTTACTAGTGTCTAAGTTAAGTTAGTGTCTTGATTTATGATTTTGCATTTGAAGTAATTGATTGTATTGTTCTTCTCTTACCATCAGTATATATTATAAATTCAACATGAGAAACACGGAATGAATTTCATAGGGGCGGCAATACATAGCTATGCCTTGACTGATTTATTTATTGTTTCTGTATTCTGTCTGTCAGAGGGACGTTCATCATGGAGTACGTGGGTGAAGTGTTCGACCAGCGCGAGTTCCGTCGCCGACGCAAGGATTACGGCAAGGACGGCACCGCGCATTTCTACTTCATGGCCCTCAAGGCGGATCAGTTCATCGACGCCACCAGGAAGGGGAACATCTCGAGATTTGTTAATCACTCATGCGACCCCAACGCCGAGACGCAGAAGGTGAGCTGCCCAGGCAAAGGCAATCATCGTTATGAAGCCATGTAATCGTCTCAGTCCCTTACATGTCTCGAGTTTACTCTTAAATCTACTCGAACCAACTGTTATTGGAGCGTTCTATGCTGATTTTCATTCATTCTTAAGCTTTTCAGTAATGCTATTGATCTGCCTTAAACTTGGAAATTGTTACGAGAGCTGCCTCGGCCTTCCAAAGCCTGGTACCTTTTATTCAATAATTGATTCTATTTAATACTAATACGCACGAGTACATCTCTTGCATAAATGTCATAAAAACGTATTTTCAAAGCATTCCGTGTTGCAAAATTGTTTCCTCTGTTTTACTGTCAACTATTTATGAATGCTTTAAATTCGCTAGATAACGTATGCGCTGTTATAGTTTATTATTAAATATTGACCCTAAACGTTGTGATGTGCAGTGGACCGTGAACGGAGATCTTCGAATCGGATTCTTTGCCACCAAGTTCATTCGTCCTGGCGAGGAGATCAACTTTGACTACAGGATGGAGAGATACGGGTAACTTGTTGCTTATGAACGCCTCGAGTGCACCACCGAAACTCTCTTTGCTGTTACTCACTTTTTCTGGTTGTTTATTATTACGAGTGACGTGTCAAAGATATATTATTCCTTTACCTTCGATATTAATGTTCAATTAAGGAATTTATTTCAAACAATGTGGCAAGGTAAGGTCTTGTTCAATATTTGATAGGGTTGTGATTTTAATTTTTCAGACGTGAGCCCCAGAAATGCTACTGTGGAACAGCCATCTGCCGTGGCTGGTTGGGTGAACCGCCAGACGAAAAGACAAAGGAAGAGAAGGAAGAGGAGAAGAAGAAGCTTGTCTCTTCTGATAAGAGGAAGAAGGAAGAGAAGAAGCACTTCGACGACGAGGTTTGCATCTTCTCATTCGTTGTTCATGCGTTCGATTTCGGTGTACAGTATCGTACGCTTTCGTAAACGTGTACTCATCTCCGGAGTTCTCATATCACTTGGCATAGCGCAGTCAGGATGGTGCCGTTAGCGACAGCTAGACCATTTTATCCTGGTGTTTTTAGTAACAGAATCGGCATTAAGATTCACTTACTATTACTAAAGCCTTCTGTTCAGAGGTTGTATGTAATTCCCCAAATTGATTAAAATCAATATGCAGTTCAATTATTCTTCCATGGTACTGTCACAAGGCAACTTCCATAAAGCAATGTTACATTGTTTCGTTATTTGTGTGCAGCTTCTGGATGACGTGTCTGAACTGGCGCGTGTTGGCTTACGCAACAAGCGTGACACGTTACTGCTGTCACGAGTGATGGTGCGTGCCGAGACAAACGCCGTACGTATGCAGTTGTTGTCGCTGCTTTGTGCCGCGTCAGCAAACATGCCCTGCCTTCGACTCTTCATGGACTACCACGGCCTCAGCCTCCTCTGGTCCTGGATGGCTGATCTCAGCACGGCTCTGCAACACGCGCCACTTAAATTAAAGGTATACTCATACTTGCGTTTTTTCAGACCATTAGTTAGTTAGGGCCAAGTGCAATATTGAGAAAACTGTATGTGATTTATACATGAAGAACATAATTTACTCGAATGTTTAGTCATTATTAGATACTTCAGATTCGTATAATGAATGAACGAATGTGCTGGCTTCATGCCAATGATGGTTACATTACTTCATGCTTTCAACCGTCCCGCTGGCAGATAATAGTATTCTTCTCTTTCATTATAAATTGAAATGTTAAACGAACCAAATAAAACTTATTTCTATTTTGTTTACAACGCGTGATGTCAATAAATAAGCAAACAGTACACAGTTTCAAGCCCTGGCGTAAATTTTCTCGCACTTAACGCTCACTTGAGACTGCTCAATCCTTATCACTTATTGGTAGCTTAATTCTTGTCTAACTCGTTACTTGAAAATACAGTACCGTAACGGTCAAAATGTAAGGGACGAAAACACAGTCGATTTTGATCATTTTATTACTTGAAACATAATGAATGAATTTTAATGAAAATTGAATTCATGTGAATATCAGTCAGAAGAGTTTGTCATATAAATTCAATGTTACGGAGTTTAACGTACTGTTTTTCATAGGAATTGCAAGCGAATGTGGTGTTTGAAATCTACCCAATGTTGAGGGACGCCGAGTTCTCATTAGCAGAGCGGAACTTTGGGAATTGGAATTAATATAAAACTATTACGAAAAATTTGTCAAATTTCTGTGGTTGTTTTGCATTATTATTTTCCATTTTTTTCGAAGCAAGTCGTGCATCAATTTCTGAGTCATGAAGTGATTAATATCCACGTTGCTAGTGTTTTTTTACTTGTGCGAGACACTGTAGGTAGAAACTTCAAGTTTTCTGGTATAATCTCATTTTGTCTCGGGTGCTGTGGCGTCTTGATATTATACTCAATATTTCATGACTATTGAAATTTACTTCATGCATGTTTTCAGAAAACTCGCAGTTCGTCTAACTTATACTTTATACTGTAGATCCTGAATGCACTGGACATTCTGCCAATCACAAACCGGACGCAAGTGTCAGACAGCCGTGTCATGGAGATGGTCGAGAAGTGGAGTAAGCAACTCCCGCCTCCCCCTCCAGCTGTCGCCCCTGCATCTGCTGTAGCTGTCGTGGACGGCTCACCCACGCACACAGTTGCAGAAAAGAGAAAAAATATGTGAGATTTTGCCATGTAATGCGACTATTTTAGTTTGATAGACTATTTGAAAGCGAGTATTGTATGGTTTTTTTAAGGTAATTTTACGAGTTCTGGCTAGTAATATCTCCAAAACTTTAACGAGGCCAAAAGCTAAAAACTTTTAAATTTAATTGTGTTTTTTTGTTCGAGTGTTATTGTTGGGAATTTTAAAATGTTGACTATCACTATATTAATTGCAACTCATATGTTGTAGTGATGACGGCGTTGAAGACGATGATAGCAGCCAACTAAGCTCTGACGACAACAGTAAACAAGGTTCTGATGAGAACAGCAAGCAGTTCCTCAGCCCTGAAGATAACAGCAGCGACTCAAGTATTTCTACTGGGAAGAACAAGCCAACTGCAAGTGCTGGAGTGTCAGTCCCTGAGGAGTCGTCTAGCAACCTCGCTTCAGAACCTGATGATTCCCAATTGAGGAGAATACAGCTCGAGGTAATTCATAGAAATTTCTCCGAATGAATTTTCATTCATGCTTGAATTAATGGTCATGGCCCAGTTTTACTTTCACCCAGCTTGCCTAAAATGTACTCAATATTAAGAATAGTCATAAGTGCAATCATAACCGAGTACGGTTTAAACCTGGTATAATGAGTATTCTTGGGATGTTGTAAGGACTGGAAGAGTCATTAAAAGGCTGCTAGGGTCCGCTGGCTCAATTATAACCTCATCACCGCGTATCCGGGTTACACCAATGTTTAAATCATCTATTTGTGTTGTCACAAAGTTTGCTTAGTTAATTTTACTTTATTGTGGTTTATTATTACACCCTAAAAAGGTTTATTTGGTAAACTGGTTTAGCGATGCATAAGATTTGAAAATCATTGTTAAGTATATGCATGGCCAAAAGATGAGTAACTATTGGCTTCTGATACGGCTGAGATTAGCAGGAACAATTTTGACCTATCCATTAGCTCTATTAACCCTCGGTAAGCCTTGCTGCAAACCATTTTTTGCATTATTTATTTAGTCAAATTAACTAACGCTGTCAATGCTTACCTGATCTGGTGAGTAATTTGTCGATTGTTGAGACGATTCTCGTAATTATTCCACTGTAAGATTGTCAAATTGCAATACAAAGCCTAATTGTTGTGTATTGTTCAGATGGTGGAGCTGGCGCTGAAGCTACTGGAGCGATGGCAGGTGCTCAAGGAGGAGTTCAGAATCCCGAAGAAGCAGCGAGTGGAGCTCATGAAGGAACACGAGAGGGAAGTGGAGGCTGGGTACAGACGGTACCTCGACACTGAACGCGGCAAGAGAGAAACAAAAGACAGGTGACACCCCTTTACTATCGACTATTGGCGATATCATCTAAACTTTTTTGGTGATTTTTAATTTTATATGCGTTTTATTCTCGAATTAGTATATTGCAAATGCACTTTATTCTCGAATTTTATTTCATTTACACTTAACTGTAGACTTCTAACGGACGTCACTGTTTAAATGTGCTAGAAACTCGAACTAATGAGAGGAGTCAAGCGTGTTTTTAATTTCCCTGTCTCCGCTGTTTTTACCTTGTGGTTCAGTGGGGCAGATTTTCAAGTGTTTTTAGTTATTTTCGCTGTTATCCCAATTTTTTCAATTTCAATTTTTTCTACACTTCTTCATAAAGTTACTGCAAATTTTGAGCGGTACCTATCATTCATTTTTTAGTTATCTCGGTTTTAGAATTCATTCAGCATATTACATGTATCAGCCAGTTGAATAGTGCATGCATGTATCTCCCGCGTCATCTCTTCATACTGAGCAGATATGGGCGAAGTTCCTACGACAACTGGCGCTGCAAAGTACCAGTGCTGGACTCCCATGGCAAGGCACAGCGCTGGCCCAGCAATGACGCCATCTCCATCATGATGAACAGCGAGGAGTTTGCTGGGCTCTCCAAGGAAGAGCGACGCGAGAAATTTGCTCAGAAAGTATGTTGACCAAAAACACGCATCTTGTTACTGTTGCAACCTCAGCCCTCAGCCATACTAATCTAGCTGTATTTTTGTTATTTCTTGTGCCTTCACCCGCAACTGTATTCATGACGTGAGATAGCGTGAAATAGCCCGACCTGCAATGCCAGCCACTTAACTACTTATGTTTCTTGGATCTTTTTATTCTGCGGAATAATTTGTGTTAAATAATATTACTAAGGTTAATTCATCAGATAAAAAATAACCGTATCGCCATTGATTTAGAAAAATAAATATTTGTTGAGGCTTAATTGATAGGTTATAACCCAGATTGTAACGGCAGCGTGCAATAAATTTCTTCATAAACTCACAGGTGGCGCAAGAAGACGAGCAACGACGCCTTCAGGAGGGCATGTGGAGCGTGCACGTAGAGCGCTGTGGGCGCATAGGGCTTGACCCATACCACTCCCCCATCGTGGACCCTTCAGGACAATACTATTGGGACGCTAGCAATTCCACCTGGGTCCCACTTACGCCTGAGAGTCAGTTCCACGTGAACATTTCAATCGTTTAAAATAATTTTTAAGATATTATGTTATATGCTTCTAATATTGTTGCCTTGATATCATTTAGTTTATTGAAGTTTCATTGAAGCATTTGAGTACTATCGTTTGTAGGAGTAAAGCTTAGCAATTTGATTGTGTACCCGTTGTGTATTTTGTCATTATATGGCAAGATGGCTCATGTCTGTGTTTGATTTATTTTTTAGCGGCTTACGCGGCGGGCATCATAAGTCCGGCTATAGCTCAGCAACACGGTGTCCCTGTGACGGGGAGCTTTGGCATTCCCGGCGTGGACGCGTCCATGGTTTATGACCCCAACTCCCCTCCTGTCCTCAACGGCAAGATCCTGCCACCGGTGGTGGTGACCGTCAAACTGCCTCCTCACTGGCACATAGCCAGGGATCAGTTCAACAGGGTTTATTTTTACCACAACCGCAGTCGGCAAACTCAGTGGGAGATTCCTACCACCGAGACCAAGACCACCGTTCAGATCAGTGACTCTGAGTCGGACTCTACCAGCAGCTCTTCTGATGTAAGACGTCTACGAATGTATTTTCTGTATGGATTCCTAGTTTGTTCATTTTTCATTCATTTTTTCATAACGTTCACCGCTTGAAATTAAAATATCATTATTTTTATTAATAAGCAAATTATGCTGAGAAATGTTATGTTATGTTTGTAACTACGGCCTTTACTTTGTTTCACGAGATGCAGTATTGAGAAACGTGGAATTTTTTTCCTAATTTTAGTTGAAAAAGCGTTGAACTTCTATTTTTTTCCTTTCGTATTTTTGCTATAAATACAATATCTTCCTTACTTTTAGCGTATAATGGTTGTGATCAAAACTAACTGCAAAAAAATTGGCCGACAGAGTGAAGAAGAGTTCTCGAGCGACGAAGATGATGCGAACGATGACGAGGCAGCCAAGGCGAAGAGCGCCGCGGCAGATGCTGACGATGCTGAGGCCGCCGTCGAGGGCAAGATAATACGACGGCAGCGCGGCAAGAAGAAACACTCAGAAGCCCTCGTGCAGCAGCGCGTCATCAGCGTGAGTACTTTCCTGCCATGTTCAGCGTGAGTACTTTCCTGCCATGTTCTCTCCTGTTGCGTGAGTACTTTCCTGCCATGTCCATGTTCTCTCCTGACATTATTATTTATTCTCTTGATTGGCTTGATGATACTCCCTTGTTCAACAGAATTTCGGAGTATGATCATGGGTAATTTGTTTGATTATTATTAAAATTTAACTGTAAATTTATTAGTAGGATTTTTCTGTAGAATAATTGCGAGAGTTATTTTGTGTCTCACAGGAACTTTGCCGTGTTTGCTAATGCCTCTCGTGTAACCGTTTGTGAGACAGGCTTTGAGACATGTAGGCAGTTGAAGCAGCTGATGATAGCGATACTTTTCATACTTTGTTCAGACGACTCATCGTTGAAAAAAATTATATACTTATTTAATGCACAAATTCTGAGTACATTCGTTAGGATAATATGCAAATGTCAACTAATACGTACCTAGTTTGGAGGCACGCGACAATACCTGGTGTTACTCAATGACTGTACGGAACCTTCAAGTTGCACCTGATAAGGAAGAGTTTGGAAATTTAGAAAAATCACGGTGGAGAATTCGTCACGTCAAACCTTAGAACAAAACCGAGTAAATTATGAAGAACGTTCCAGTGCTTGTGCATTGAACTATCGTTCCATGATGTATAGCTGCATTTTATAGTAGCAAACAAGTAGATCAAATAACAATTGACTTGGTCTATGCTAGAGAGCAAACGTATTATTTCATTGTATAATATTTTAAGAAATACCTACTGTTTTATGCGGTCTATGCGTTGACAGAATTAAATTTTTTTTTTCTTTTGTATTCGTACCCATATTATATCATTTGCACTTTGCAGCCAATACGAGAGCTGGACAGAGAGTTGGCTCGCAAAGAGCGACGTGAGGCGAAGGAGCGAGCTAAGCACGAGGCTCGTAAGGAACGTCAGTACCAGGAGCTCATGGTTCCTGCTGACGATGAAGACGAGGACGACGTTTATGATGGCGCCTCAGACGACGTGCTTCTCAGCCGCGTCGCGCATCACGCCAGCAGAGACAAGCTCAAGACTAAAGTGAGTTCGTTGGGTCACTCCGCTAAACGCAAGCTTTAAAATTTAGTTGAATAACAAAAATTGTTCATAGAACTAGATATTTTTTAGCCGAGTTTTCAGATTTTGGAAAATTTTTGAGCCGTATAATAGAGGAAGGTTGAAATTAGTGCGAATTAGACGTATGATGAGCATATTAATAACTGTTGCATACAAATAATTGTCCTAAACTGAAAGCTAATTTCTTAAATACGTATTCTTATACTGGAGAAGAAACTCGAGCATCTTAGGCATTAACTTGATATCTTTCTTCCTTGGACGCAGCTTCAGCCGGAAACTTTCCGCGTGAGTTTATGATTGTTGTTTCCTTTTTTACACAACTGGCATGCATTACAATGTATATTCCACAGTATTTGTTAAATATTATAATTTAACTTCACACTTTATCAATCTTAGGCTTCCCGTTTAATGTTGATAAAAACTTTAATCTCAATGCTAATCTTACTTTTATTTAATAATGAAAGGTAATTGTTTGATCGTTTCACCTACTTCATTCGATGATCATTTGTCGAAGTTCGTTTCCTACTCTGACGGAAATGTTGATTTGAAAGTCATCCTCGTCCTTAGAATTTACATATCACTAAGAGAGCTGCGCGGTGCATTGGTGAGAGACTCAGTTTCACGCTGACAGCGACCCACGGTTCGAGTCCCACTCGGGACAAGTTCCCTCGGGAAGTTGATCTCATGGCCAACTCAGCCATTATCCGATTCTGGTTAATAAATGAGTGCCTGGCTTGTCAAGGGTGTTGTGTAGTGCAATAAAATATTTCTGGCAAATCAGCGAGTCAGTGGTGGTCCTGGAACTACCTTACAAAAACTGTTGATCAAAATGGGGCCAATGATCACCCAATTCCTTCCAAGCTGACATTACCAGGATGAGCAATACAAATACTAAAAATTTTTTAGAATAAATGAATTTATTATCATCCGTTTCTTTTATATTTAAAATGCTATTTTTGCTATCAATGAAATGTTTGACTAATGTTGTCGAAAATGTTTGGCAAATTTGAGCAGAGTAAAGAGCGTGCAGCCACAGCCATCGCGGACAACAGCGAACGTGCGCGCAAGATTAAAGACTTGTTCAGGTCGCGCATGGCCACCTTCATCGTGTCTGTGCTCAACCCATACAGACGAGCCGACTGCAAGAAAGCTCGGATAAACACCACCGACGACTTCAAGTATCTTGCCAGAAAAGTACGTTGAAATCTTGACAATGTGGCGACAAAAATGGCCTGGGCCTAGAGATATGCCTTAGACTTGTTTAAATAATGATAATTTTTAGCGCATTTTCTTATTTATGGGAAAAATGCCCTATTGTGCTCGTCATGTCCGTCCGTCAGTCCGTCACTTTACGTTTTCGCCGATTTTGAGAAAATGCGCTCTCTGTCACTCACTGCAGTGAGTACTGAGATACATTTTTTAATAATAGTGATGATCCCAGTTAGGTCCGGCTAAAGGGCGTATTAGTGTTACGTCTGCTCTCTGCTCGTGCTGCGGGTAAAAGAGTCATCATTTTGACAATGTAACCCATTCACTTTTCTGAGTGTGGCGTGAGAAGAGATGATGAGTTCACGACCTTATTGGCAACTGTAAGGACTGGTCTAAGAAGAGGGCTAAGGTCGACTACAAATGTCCGAATAAAAGAAGTTTCACAGGTTCATGTCCAATAATTTAGTTACATAAATCGCTAGGTTGCAAGTTCAATGATATTTTCATGCATTATGACATAAATACAAATCTATTCATTGTTTTTCAGCTGACGCACTTCGTAATGGTGAAGGAGCTGAAGCAGCTGCCCAGCATAGATGACCTGGACTGCAGTGAGAGCGTCAAGCATAAGACCAAGGACTTTGTTAGAAAATATATGGCTAAGTATGGTACATCTTTCAAGCGTGATCCTCTGGATACTAAAGAATATTGATATTTTACCTCCTCTTACCCTAACTTAGTTTGGTAAGAATAGTACGTGATGCGAGTGGTTAACCTCACTTTCATGATCAGAGCCCGTCAAGTAAGAGTAGGTACTGTTAAAAACTAGTTTTATTTATGTGTGATGCCTCTGTGGCTTTTATTTGTGACAGATACATAGTGTTTATGGGTGTGAATTGTTATTTATAATCTAGCACCTTTGTCTGCTGCTCCCGTTGCATGTACAGCTTTCACTGCCTAAAATAATTTTGTTGAAAGAATATGCAATTTAGTATTTGACGTGATTCTGATATCAGGGGTTTGTAGCATCTATGATTTGATTCCGCACCCCGAAATTGCTATAATTGCTCTTATATTTGTGTCACAAAGAAAAATTGTTTTTGATTTGACGAAATTTGTATATATATTATGTACATATGAGCATTATTTTTATGCCTTAATAAAAACTTGGAAATACTTTGCTATATTTTTAATCTAAATTTGCTTGCCCGCAAACATCGAATCGGGTGTATTTAAGCAATATCTTGGTGTATGAGATATATAACTTGAAACCAAACTTTTCGGATCATTTGCTTACGGTCAACTGTTTCAGTACAACATTTATGATATTTTTAAAAGGTGAAAATTTTGAAAATATACTAACGCCATCTTAGTGAAAAACTTAATTTAACAGAGTTTGAATAAATTATTCAAGTTAGTACAACATTTTTGTATAAATCCGGATAACTGAATTTCTAAGTGTGGACCTTAGCAGAAATATCTACCAGTTTCACGTGGACGTCAAACATCAGTGGCCCTTGAGAGAATTGGGGAACTAAACACACTAGGTGGGGAAAGGCCTCTCATGGGAAACATTCGTCAAGCTGCAAGCACTTCAACGTGAATTGGTCTGAATGTGCGAAATTCTATGCAAAGAAGAGAAGAAAAAATGATGATACCAGTCACCGTGGTCGTAACGCGCCTTCAGAGCGAATGTGTGTCTAATCGGTTCGAGTTAGCACCATGGAGGCAGGGTTACCTGTACTGGCAAAACAAAACGGTTGAATCAGCTCACAAAAACGCCCCGAATGCAGCAACATTTATTAGTAAATTTGAACTTAGCGTCGCAACAATTTAATTTATGTGGGTTTTTAAAATTACCCAAAAATGCGTTAGGTTTATGGCTCTAATATAGTTTGTCTGTGAATTAAAAAAAAAATTCGTCGTGAAATAGGGGGCTCAGCCGTAGGCCACAAATTTTACTCTTAAATAAGTCGTTGAGCCAACGCCCAGTCTCACCAAGCATCAACTTTACTCAGCCTCAGATAGAAGCCACAGACTACGCTTAAACTCCGTAATCCAGACCAGCGACGCATTGCCGAAAGATAATAGCGCCGTAGGTCTTCAGCCAATGCTTAAACTACCGAGTGTATAGTTTAGAGTTTTATTGGCAAAATGCAGGGCGTTGTTGTTAAGCATGCCCGCTCATAAGCAGGCAGCTCCCCATTATCCGGCTGTACCTACTCCGGCCTAACCTATTCACGCTGTCCCGGCTCACAACCATCTTGCAGCAAGTGACTGGCCCTACCAGCACACTTGGACGGACCGCCTTTCTAACTTCCTGCAGCCAATGAGTTTAGGTTAGGTCCGCTCAGGTTTGTTTTGGGTGAAGAAATGTTGCGACTTGTGTAGGTCAGGCCGGAAAATGTTCTACCAGATGCAGTATGGCCATGCTTACCTTTAGCAAGCATTAGTTATGGCTGAGGACATCCGGCGCTATGGCTTTGAGCACTTGACTTCATAGGCTGGTAGCGCTCTAGCATTTTTACCTACGGAAAGAAATATGAACTAAATGTGAAGTTTGGCAAAGCTGGACTCCGGCTCGCGCCTCGGGACAATTTTCCATCTGGCTACAGGCGCCTCTCAGCAATAACAGCGGTTGCCTAGCAGCTTTCTGTGACAGCTCCTCGCAAGCTCCAGCGAAGTGAGATGACCAATGCGAACTCAAGTAAATCCCCAACAGGGAATTACTTGAGTTCCCGGGGGCCTTTTTTTGTAACTGTTGCCTTTTTAAAAATCGTTTCGATCACTAATACGTAATTAAACATTCATACATTAATGGTGGAAATTTAGCCAGCCAAATTGCTAGTAATATTATTGATTTTACAGCCAAGCACACTAGAAGACACGGTTCGGCGCACTAATTCAACAAAGTCGACAACATACACTAATAACTACAATTCCGGCAAAAATCAAATTAAGAGCTCATCATGAATAATTTCCTTATATTTGAAATGGATTAGTAACAAGTTCAGTAAATATGTAATGGCAACGTGTCTCGAACATAAATACAGATTCTCAAAGGAAATACGTCGGCTAAATGGTACTTGGCAAAACCAGTTATTACAGGCGTGGCGCAGGTTGCATAGAATTTCGCACTGCACTTTTTGCCAATCCGCCGGTTAACGTCCCTAATTCCTCAACTCGAATATATCAACTTCAAACACTGCCGGATCGAATAAAGTACCTTTTTCATACTACTCGAATTTACCAGTGGATTAAAACATGAATTTTTTTTATTACAGTGCTCCGTCGCTTATCACGTTTACTAATATTTAAAATATTCATGATCTTGGCTCTTGAATTTCTCGCCAATTGGTTGATTGACGTCTATTATTGCGTTCCAAACCTATCCGCGACATTTGATCCGAATGTAGCGACTCCGACATAAATAAATAAATCACTTTTATATCATTGAAATTTTCAGTAATTTATGAAAATTATATTAATTGAGACAAAACCTAACGTTTTCTAAGAAATTCAAACACGTTAATCAATGTCTGAATGTGAAGATGGTATTATTTTAGGAACAGAATAAGATTAAAATAAAATCAAGAGTTCCGGCAGACATACGCGATGCAGCCAAAACTGAGCGATATAAATATCTTGGAGGGATCAAGACATGTGCCGAGAGGCAAAGTTGCGAGACAAACCAGCTGTTAGCGTACGAAATTAACTGAATAAAATTAGTTTCATTTTACAAAGATCTCAAGACTTAACGGAATTAGAAGTGGGCATGAGCATCCTACATCAGTCAATTTGTTTAGAGGATAAATGGCCATTTTTTGGCATCGACAGAGTATTTTCGGTTTTGAAAATCTTATTATATTTCAAGCTCCGTACAACATTTAAACAGTTCTCCAAAAAAAAAAAAATAACTATGACGGTACTATTGCAATTTTTGACGCTGCATGAGAACAGATTAATCATGTCCATTTGCTGCTCTACGGGATCTACAACGCAAACTTGGCAAAGCGTTGGCAATGGACGAACATTCAGTAAAGGGACCAAAGACAAGGCCATTTAAGAAAGCTGAGCGGTCATTGGCTATTCAAGTTTTTTTTTCAGCGTTGCCAACCAGATTTCACGAATCTAGTATGTTGTGACGGTGTCTGGTATGGATATATTTGATCTGGTATATTGGCCGAAATCTGGTATATTTCTGATATATTCAGACACTTCAGGAGTTTAACTGAAATAAATGAACACATTTTTTTCAATTTCATCTTTTCATCAGACACAATATCGTGTTTTTAATTGCCACTTAAGAAATTTCGTTAAAGAATTCCCATTTTTTGGGAATTACCCATCTAAGCTATTGCCCAACTAACGCTTTATCTAAGGTCCACGGAAGAAACTTGACGTCAATTTTTATATCTATATCTACTGAGAATTCAGGGTTGGCGATTTTTTTGATTTTTTTTTTTAATCAAAAAAATAAAAAATCAATGATTATTTTTTATTTTTTCATGATTTTTTTTTATTTATTTGATTTTTTCAACTTGTTTGCCTTTTTGATGTGTTATTTTTTATGTTGCAATTAGCCTACTAACAATAACAGTATATTGATCATAATGGATGGCTAAAAAGGGCACTTATTGCCTTCAATAATGGCCAAGGTTGTGTTTACCACTTAGGGATTTTTGGGTAAACAATTATTGGTAAGTCTATTCATTAGCTTTGTAAAGTTTGTATGTCATTTATAGTACATTTATACTAAACCATGAATAACAATACCTCAATATAAATTAAAGACTGCCACTCAATATATTTAAATATATGAAAAAATAAAAAAAAAATCGAAAAAATAAAAAAATCATGATTTTTTTATAAAAAAATCAAGTGATTTAATCACATGATTTAATCATTTTGATTTAATCATTGCCAACCCTGACTGAGATGACTGAATTTTTTTTTTTAATTTAGAATTTTCCCTTTCTGAATTGAGGTCTCGGACAAATTGGCGACCGGACTCGCGGCCGGTCTCACGGCCAATTTCCAAATTCAGTGACCAAGGAATATCTCCCAAGCTAAGGAACGCAGCTCGATGAAACTTGGTACAAGTACAATTATACGGCAATTCATGCCGAAATTTGCAGCGACCAAGAAATTTCTTCTAAACTACTGAACAGATTTGAATGAAACTTTGAATATACAAACCTAACCTCCTAACGGTGATGTTTAGCCCGTGACAATTTTTTTCGATTTTTCCTTCGTTTACGAGTTATACGGTTATACGTGTACGGCTCTTTGGCGATGCAAATTTACTAATTGTCCTCAGAAATGCCGGTCATTTTTCTCCGTATATAACTCGCGAGCGAAGACAAAATCGAAAAAATGTCACGAGCAAAACATCACCGTTGGTAGGTTAGGAATCTATATTCAAAGTTTCGTTCAAATATGTTAAGCAGTTTAGAGTAAATTTTTTGGTCACTGCGAATTTCAGTCATTATTGCGATACGTATAACTAGGGAATGAAATCGAAACGGCAAAAAAAAAACTCGAAAACGAAGTAAAATCGAAAAAATTGTCACGAGCTAAACATCACCGTTGGAAGGCTAGGAATGAAAAATTCAAAGTTTCGTTCAAATATGTTCAGTAGTTTAGAAGAAATTTCTTGGCCACGGCAAATTGCGGCCCGAATTGCCGTATAACTCACGAATGAAGGTGAAATCGACATATTTTACGAGCTAAACATCACCGGTAGGTCCTAATGAATACATATAGGTACCAAGTTTAACATTAAAACATTACCATGGGGCAGTAGGTAATGTTTTTAATAGTCAGTGTCAGAATATTACGAAACAAAGGATAATTTTGCTAAATCGATTTTGCTAATTCTATGTCAAGCCAAGCACAGTAAAAACTTTCCAACCAAGTGAACCAACATTTCTGACGAATAGTTTTAACAAATTTGGGGGTTTTAATCAGTTTTGGACAAGGAAAATTGGTATATTTTAGGTATATTTTGCTGGGCAATCTGGTTTACTAGGCGAGAAAAAAGTTGGCAACACTGGCTCATTGAACTCCTACTTTGCTTGTAAAGGCCAATCAGGAAAGCGAGCACAAAGATGTATTTAACCTACTTTGGTACAACACAGAACTTTATCAATCAACAATGCCTAATCGAGGGCCAGTTAGTAAGAGTATTGACAAGCCCTTCGTTATATGCGTTTTATCACTACCGCATACAGCTGAGGATATATGAAAAGCTTTCTAAAGTTTAATCTTTGAGTGTCGATGGCTAGAGGTAAACGAGCAATTTTTATATACTGTAATAACACAAGCACTGATATTTAGCTAAGATGACGTCAAACTAAAAAAAAAGACCAACGCGTTGCGAGTAACTCAAACTCCTCCAAAAATGAACATATTGCTGAAAATTAGAAGCAGAAAATGTAAACAGAATGACTAAAGATATGACAACACACCTTACCGAGCACAACAACCTAGACGAGCTTGTAGCTGACGATTTATTTTCTGCCGTTACTCGCGGTTAATGTGCCGTGAATGACGAATCACGACGCCTGTCATACCGGACATGGCGCTTATTGCCACTGATTGGTTAACGATTCCGATTCACACTTGTAGCATTGACAGTTTCTCCGTTCACTTGAGCTGGTATAAGGCTTCCCAAAGACTTGAGTCTTATCCTCATCTAATAATTGAATCAAGTACTACCAACTACTACATGTACTAGCATAATGGCAAAATATTATTATTAACTTGCCAAGAGCCCACCTCCAAGCAACGCGTCACTGTCTGAAATGCCACTACTCAGTAAGGTCTTCATTTTTTGTCGATTCGTGCTTATGGCTTCCGAAACTCAGTCAATATTTTCCGGAATGTATAGGCACTTGATATGACAGAGAGGTCACATTAATTCGTTGATAAATACATTGCATTTTTACGTTCAGAGGTATTTTCGTTCCATGAAATATAATTGTTAATTACCTGAAATTTATTAATGCCTCATTTAATTAATTAAGAATTTAATGGATAAGTAACCAAAGTCATTAATTCATTTAAAGCTTCTGGTTTATTTATTAATTGATACATAACACACCTGTCGCCTTCTTTATATAGTCCTGCAGCGTAAAAAACCTGGTTTGATATTATGAACATATTTCGTTCATACGATAATGAAATTGCAATTTTATCTTTGTACCCACCAGGGGACACATGCCGAGCGGGTTAAACAAGGTTTGGACTAATGTTAAGCCATGGGGTTAACCACCTTCATTTTGTATAGTAGCATGGCGCGACAAGGACGTTTTCGCAGCGCAAACTTTAATAGTGTATAAAAAGTAAAAGGGTATCAGCCACATACAAAAATGAAATACATGCTACCTAACACGTTTATTCGACTTGTACAACAAACATGCAATTTTTCTGAAGGTTACAGGCTTTCAATTACAATATTGTATAATTTAACGCAGTTTTGTATGGTAGTTAATCTATTATCACGCTATCATTTTCGGTAAACTCGTGTTTCTCCATCACTCACTTGATATTTTTGTCGCGATCGTAGTTTGTAGGTCCGTGGTTAGCAGTCATCAAACCGCAGTTAGTCATGAAAAAGGTTTTCCAATATAAGCTATTGTTGCGATGTGACTTCCATAAACTATGTTTTTTGCGAATTTTTAAATTTTCAATATCAACTGAGTCGTTATATTCTTTCACGGAAGAATACATTAATGAATCACACAAAACCCTACGGCTACGGTCCTATTAAACTTCGGTATACAACCACAAACTCGGTGATTTCATACTGCCTAAGGAAGTAAGGACTATTAAAATGTGAACACTTGACTCTCTAGAAGATCCAAATCTCTGCTACAATTGATCATATCTTTGTTAAAAGATTTTGTACCACAGATTAATAACTTCGTTCCCACCAAACAAGATTTTTGAATTTCATTCTTGACATCGTCCTTTGTTATTTTTCTGAATTCAACATTCTCCCTATATTTCTTGCCTAGTCTATTACTTTCGTTACTCAAATAATGACACATGAAGAAGTTCCAATAATTTGTCAAATCTAAAAGCTCATTTCGAAGTATTATTTCTGAAAATGATCTTGAAGCATACATCAAATTCATTTGAGTTTCGTCATCCCCATCACTCAGAACAAATCGAATAACCTGATACAGAGGAGCAATACCTGTACCGGCTCCGACGAGTATTATCCTCTTGCAAGTATTTCGGGAATATGAAAACGTACCAAAAGGTCCTCTCCATAGAATCATATCTCCAACTTTCCATTTTTTTATCAGCTGACTCATTCTACCGTTTTCGTACAATTTAATTATAACCTCAAATCTACCTACCGCGTCCATTTCACTAACAGGTGTATACTGACGACTTATGGGCTTCCCATCATCTCTGATGAGTTGTGAAATAATGTGCTGACCAACTTTCAAATTTAAACTTCCATTGTTATCAATTTTAAAGGAGTACAAATATGAATCAGTTGTGATTTTCTCAATAGAAATTAGCTGGAATGCTGTATATTTATGAGGAAAAATATGCCTGGCAGATCCTATTGTATCATTACTAAATGAATCACAAATAACACTCCCATCTCTTAGGTTTCTACAAAGTTGCTTCCAGTCTTCCAAGTCCTTTTGGTATAAGTCATGCACGCAGGGAGAGCAGCCGGAGCCACAGCAATCACTGGGTAGTGGAGCATCAGGACATGGAGGTAAAGCTGCTGCATCTGCATGTACATCAACATGAATGCCTTCAAGAGACATCACATTAACCTGCACAAACAAACAACAATTAAGTTATAGCGGGTTAGCTGGTACTGCTAAAAGCTAAAGGAAATGTGAGCAGGGATATCTATCAGTAATTGACCAGAAGATATTGTGAACAGCATTTTTTGTAAGTATGGTAAATTTTTGCACCTGTTGAATAAATGAACTCTTTTAACACTGTTGCATAATATATGTCGCATGATTGAATGAAGCATATTATACAAGAAAATATTACAAATTATATGAATGTAAGAAGAGCTATTTAAGGTCTTACTCCAAACATTGGTGGGCAAGGTTTAAGTGAAATAACTGGTAAATGAACTAACAAAGAAATAAAAATCAATCTTTAAGAAGTTTGAATGGTTGGCTGACTGCTAACTATTTGAGGAAAAATTAATATAATCAATAATGAATATTGGTGGTCGCTACAATGTCACCATTGAAAACCATACACAGAGCATGTTTAAACTCTTACATCAATTGATATTGTACAAAACATTCACACATGATAAAAAAATTGTGATTGGTCTTCTTTCAATGTTTGCTAACATTATTTAATTATTTTTTAAACCTACTTTGGAACTGTTGAAGCAGTACTTTCAACTAGATTGGATGATGAACAGAGGATGAACACCTCAATGAGTGTGGACAGAATTCTAATTCATGCAGCTGAAAATAAGTAGTAAGGTGGGAATTAACTTGGTTATCTTGGACTTTTACTATTATCTAGTGGAAGGGTTACAAAACTGAGATAAAAATATGCTACAGGTGATCCTGACAGCACATCAGCACCCGCCACACTTTCATAATGACAAGCACAAGCAAGTGTTTTTGTTTTGGAAGGGGAGTCAAAAATGCTTGTGGAGTCTGACAAAATGAAGGGCTGTGTTTTTTCTGTACTTCTGATAAAGGGATCTGAGGGACAAATACCATTTTTAGCAAGTTTGACCTTCCTCTCTCTTCCAGTGTCAAAGCAGATTTTTTTAGATTCCTCCTGAGAGTTGAGACTTTCTCTAGTTCATTTTTTAGTCCTATTTCTTCCTATAAGTAGACCAGTCATCTGTAAAGTCAGAAGTATCATTGATATTGGATACAAGCATTTTCATACATAAGAAATTGATTTAAATCTTGAGTAGATGAGGAAAATATAAATGAACTGATTCTACAAAATCTCTGGACTCTGGTCTGGTTTGACACCATGTCTTGAGTTTTGACCATTGGCCCATTGCTTCACTGTGCTTGAAATTTATCAGGTTTGCTTGCAAGTTGCAACAAGAAGGCAATCAGGGCCTGATAAGCAGTACTCAACAGTTTGTTTTGCCTCTACTCTGGTAACTCTGCCACTGCCAGTCTTTATAATTCTGCCTGCCTGCCACTGCCAGGTGCCTGGTTGGTGACTTGGTGTGAACTGTGAAGTCATTTTGTCTGAGAAAGAGGCTCGCTGAAGTTATTTCTTTGTTAATCATTTAATATTATGATTGCTTACCTCTATGTTATTGTTTGGAAATTGGAGTTGGACTGTTGGACGAGTACCATGCTTCGAGAGACTGCCATGCCATTATTGCCATAAGACAATAACACTTATAAGAGTACCCCATTTACATCTATAGTCACTTGATTGATGATTATTTTAGCTTCGAAAACTTGTCCATGTAGGCTAGCTCCTCCTCCTATTAGTCCTATACTCCTATAGCAATTTTCTTACCAAATATACAGGCTGTACGGGTCGCCTGCCGAAGACCACCACTGCCCTGGGGCCTGGATGTAATGGACCATCATGATTCCTGCCTTGCGGAACGTAGCTTTCAACACTTCAAGCCGTCCGTATCTAGGCCGTGGTTCGAATCAGCCCTCGGTCGAACGGCCACTTGTCGAAGGACAATAAATTTTGGAACAGTACTATGCTATCTGAAATCTAACCTTAGATGCGGTGAACGTAAAATTACGTAATTTAACGATGCCCGGAGCCGGAAGTCATATTCGATCCGCGGCCTGGTGGTGCACGGCAGGTGGTGGTCAAGGCCGGAATAGGACAAAGCCGAGTGGTGCACGGCTGATTGGTGTAGGTCCGGAGAGATCCAAGGCGTTCGATTCAGGGCTTATTGGTGCACAAAATTGGTGGTGCACGGCTGCGCTCCCGGCGGTACAACATACCACAAACTACATCTGCATTCCGCAAAGGTGAGCTGTTTGCTCTCTTCGTTCCGTAAATTAGCTATGTCCGCATTCGGTTGATTTTTTGCCTTTCCAACTCTCTGCGCAACTCATTAACTGCATCAGTTCATCTTGGTCCACTGCACAGCGTTGGTTTATGTCAGTGCAGCCCGCCGAACACTTTCTGTCGTCGGCTCGCCTTCGCCTCTTTCGGGGTAAAATTGTAGTGACGAATTTCGCAATACAGAATGATTCCTCATTATTTATCGAAGCTGCAAAATACTTTCTTCATAGACCGAAGTCGTTCTAATAAGTTCATGTGAAGCTGTTCTAACAGCTGCTTCGTCTGCCAAACACTCCCTGTGGGCCCGGACGAAGGCCCCAACCTCCCTGAGGTGAACTCATTCCCCTTGGCATTTTATTGTTGCATGCTGGCATCGTATTGCCGGAGGCTGGCATCGTCTTGATGGATGCTGACATCGTCTTGCCGAGGATTGGAATTGTCTTGATGAGGGCTGGCTTCATCGTGTTGAGGACTGGTATCTTGGTCCCTATCCACGTCCCCGGCGTCCGACCTCAAGGGGTTCCTCCGCTCCCGCAGCGACGCCAGCGCGCGTGTCAGCTTGACGATGAACTCGTCCTGCAGTTCGGGTTCATTCATAGGACTTTAGAGCAGTTTGCGGTTATCTTCTTGCACTTCTAATGTAAATTGAATCAATTCAGTTAACTGCGCTGGTGCTCCAGCAACAAAAATGTCAATCGATTCGCTCATCCGTGCCCGCGCTTGAGCTGCTTCAATTTCTAATTGAGTTAACTGCTCTTCTATCTGCTGACCTCTCTGCTAAACACTCTGCTCAGCCCTCTGTTCGGTCCTATCCTCAGGTCTCTCGTGTAACTCGCTGCAAAGCTGGTCATCACGCTCAGATGTTACAGAATCGAAAGAAGCCATTTCTGTGAGCAGAAGGAAAATAGAGCATCCATTGTAACGAAATTCTATTTTAGACGTCAACCTATCACAATACAAACGTATAATGGTTACGCGGAGATAAAAAATTCGATAATTATTCGATTAGAAACAACAGTAAGATTATCAAAGAATCAAACGGGGAAAATTTCATGTGAACGGTAGCGCAGCCGTGCCCCACCAATTTTGTGCACCAATAAACCCTGAATCGAACGCCTTGGATCTCTCCGGACATCCACCAATCAGCCGTGAACCACTCGGCTTTGTCCCCCTCCGGCCTTGCATAGAACCTGCCGTGCACCACCAGGCCGCGGATCGAATCTGACTTCCGGGCATCGTTAAATTACGTAATTTTACGTTCACCGCATCTGAGGTTAGGTTTCAGATAGCATAGTTCTGTTCCAAAATATATCGTCCTTCGACAAGTGGCCGTTCGACGGAGGGCTGGTTCGATCCACGGCCTAGATACGGACGGCTTGAAGTGTTGAAGGCTACGTTCCGGAAGGCAGGAATCATGATGGTCCATTACATCCAGGGCAGTGGTGGTCTTCGGCAGGCGACCCTGTTGAACTAATGTTCAACTTCTCTGCGCGCCCGTCTGCGCAAATTAACCTGTGAGGCGGCGGAGACACAATACCATATAGGAACTTGGCTTGATGCCAGAGTGTGCAAGTTCAACAGCAATCAACCGTTTTTCGAGTTTACTCTGAAATCCTTGATTACCTCTAAAGATTAAGAAGCAAAGCTTTCCATGAGAGGTGAGCGTTTTGTCGGCAACATATTATTTAAGGACGGATGAGGAGGACATGGTCATTCTTCTGCTTTCCTCTCATTGGTGGAATCTACCAGCCCGAGCAGCCTCTCCAACACTAGCATCTTTCTGCAACTCTGGCTTCAGGGCTATTAGTGGCACTGCCGCACTGGAAGATCAATGTGAGCACTGGGTAGCATCAAAGATTTTGTTTTGTTCAGCTTCAGAGTTCATATCCTTGAATGATATCCGTTTCCGATTTTCTTGATTTGCAGATTCATCATCGTCGTAGTCTGCTCTTGTCATTGGAGCCCGGTCTCAATCGCCATCGGGCAGGAATGTCGTAACTTGAGACGCAGTTAGGTCGCCCTCCATATTGAGAGTTGGCAAGCGGACCAGGGGCGTGGTACTGTCTAGACGCCATTGCTATCGTGGTAGTCTTCTGCCTTGCCTCTCAATTTCACAAATTTATTTAGGCTCTTGAACTTTACTTTAGCCCCTTTCACAGAGGGCAGTAGATACTGCGCGCGTCAAAAATGCCGCGGCAGTATTTACAGCGCAATCTTTCACACGAGGCGCTTTTTACTGCTGGGATCTATCAGTCTTGCAGTGCTTTATGCTTCATCAGTCCATCTCTATGTTTATGTAACAATATTTCTATATGGAAATCTATCTCTACGTGAGAAAAATGTAAATACATCTCTATGGAAATACCTATATATTTTATGGAAAGTATATCTTATATGAAATATATCTTTATCACTTCAAGGATATATATATTTATCAATGTATATCTTTATGTTTATGTAACATTATTTAGTTTGAGATGGCAGAATTTGTTGATTTATACGCGTGCGATTAACGACCAGAGAATAAATTGATTTAAATTATCAAAGAGTCGGACAATTCTTCAGATGACGTTGGTAGATCAAAAGGCATATATCAAGAAGTAGTTTTAGTTTATTTACGACGTTTCGAATGTAACAAACATTCATTTTCAAGTTACAAAGAGCATTAAATATTGAAATTCTGGTGGAAATAAGTACATAATATATGTAAATAGGATACTATAGTAAAATTTTGAATA